CGGCTGCCACACTGTGAAAAAAGGCCCTAAATTCATGACAAAAAACGTGCATATTTTCATCACTTTAAAAGCATCACAATGTCCCACAATGTCATCACAAATTGATGACATTTTCATCGAAGCTCCTGTCCTTCTTGCATGGATGTGACAACAATGTCACCAAGCTGGTTTGATGATAATCTTGGAAGGAAAATTAGCCTTAAAATTCTCATCCGTAATGTGAAAACCATTCAAACTATAATGTCTTACAAAGAAAAGTAGCTTTTTATAACAAAGTATTTTCAGCTTAGATAAGCCGACAAAGAAAATACTTCGTAATAATTACGATAATAATAATAAATTATTTACGAGCTATTTCTTCGTATTACAAATTATGTAGTCTGTACCTTACATGCTCTAAATACTTCCTACGGTTTTATGCGTGCAGTGACGACTAAAAATTTTCACAGTGTGCCAGTCGGGCCTCGCGAACGCCTTGACCAAACACTATCCGGCAAAAAGAAGCAGCTTGTGTGTGTGTGGAGTAACAAAGCCGTGACGTCTTTCGTCTTGAGGCTGCCTTGCGTCTGGCAAAAAGGTCCATGACGCCGATATCCAGTTTTGTCAGGGACGTACGCAGGGGTCGGTGTGTCAGTGGCCCGCCGCCGCTGCCGCTGCGTCTTGCAGTCGACCTGAAACCAAAACGGAAGGATTCGCGCGCTTCCGAATTCGAGACGAGCCTGCCGGCCGCGCTCGCGCAGACTCGTCCCCAGGCTGCTCACCTTGAGCACCTCGCCGCGCCGCACCGACACGAGAGAGGCAGAGTCCCGTCACGAAGCTTTTTCAGTCCGCTTTGTGATTCCAACGAACATAATTTGTCGCCGACGAGTGCAGCAGCGGCGCAGCCGAGCGATCCAGAAGCTGCGTCGTTTCGTCGCTCCGTCTCTGTCGCGCTCACGGACCTCTCCGTAAGGGCGTGAGAGAGACAGAGTGACCAGCCGCTCTTCTAATCGCTCGGTAGGCGTGATTTGCAACGCAGTAGATTAATTGCAATGGCGGCGGGGACACTGACGGGAGCTTTACTGGTGACAGGACTGCCCATGCAAGCAGCTGGTCGATTCCTTCGCTGTCTCTCTCGCATCCTCACGGGACGCCCCTCGAGTGCGAGAGAGACAGAGCGACAAAGCAACAGTTTGAAATCGGCCTGCTGCTGAAACGGGCAGTCCTGTCACCAGTGTCACTCTGTTTCTCTCTCGCTCTTGTGGGACGTCCGAAGGGGAAATACCTCCAGCCAAATTTGTACACCAAAATTCATCAAACATGTAAAATTCACTAAATTTATCGAAATTTGACTGAAATTCGTCGAAATTTGACTGAAGTTCATCGAAATTTGACAGAAATTCATCGAAATTTGGCTGAAATTTATCGACATTTGCCTGAAATTCCATCACTATTGGGTGTCCCGTAAGGGCGCGAGAGAGACAGAGCGATGATAGGACTGTTCGGCATCGCACTGCTGATAAAGCCTCCAGCGAATGCAAATGCCTGGAGCCGCGGTTCGGAAGAGACGAACACGCCGTAAAACACGGGGAGACGCCGCCTCACACCGTCTCGCCGACCAGGAAGAGCGTAATTGCGAATAAGGCCATCTTAATGATGCCTTCGGTGGTTTCCAGCCCAGTACTTCCCCACGGCGTGCGCGCGCAACGCAGCCAACCTCAACGAGTGCATCCGCAGCAACATGCAGAGCGTCATGCCCCTCTTCGGCAAAGGCCTCTTAATGTCCTTTGGTTTCCGCCCGTCTTCCCCTCTCTCTCTCTCTCTGAGGCAAAAGGACTGATGCGTTTCCCCAACCGCAGGCGAGAAGCTGTTCGACATGGACCCCATCGAGCCCATCGCCGTCAGTGACGTGAGGGTGCACCTGCGCCGCGAAGCCCTTCGACTTCCACGCCGTGGCCCGCAACAGCAAGGTGCACGGCGCGTCCGGCGTCATCATCCGCGACGTCAGGTGGGTGTCCTTCCACCACTGTCTCCCTCGCACCTATGAGGGAAGCCCCACACTGTGAGAAGTGTACTTTTACGCATCTCTTCAAACGTAGTCGTGTTTGGTACGCGTGGCTTCGAGCGCAGCACCCCGTTCGACTCGCCTCACGCCCATCTAAATGTATGAGATAGTTTCTTCTCTGCGCTTCACTCCAAGCGTAAAGTCTTGTAGAGTATTGTATGCTTGAATGAAGCAGCGTACAACATACACTGTGAAATCAAAGAGTGTTAAGTCACACTTGAAATGCGGAGGAAAGGAATTTTTCAGCCTTTGTTCTTGGAAGTGCAGCGTTTGCAGTCTCCATCCCTCAAGTTTGGAGCTGTCCAACTTTTGCCCCGCCGGGAGTAAACGTTCTGTGAGCTACTCCACACTTTAAGTACAGTGTGGAGACGGCAACCTTCACGCGCCCTAGTCTGGAGGAGTAATCCGGACGAGGAAGTGTGGGCTTGGTTTAAAAATGTACGCTTCAGTTTCCTCAGTGCAGTACCTACCTATTCGCCTTGGACGGCCGACCATCAAGGCCACTTTGCCGCCGAAATTTGGCATTCTAACGACGGCTTCCGGTGTCGTTGCAGGGCTAAGCTGACCGACGACAACCTGGACATGGAGATCGACGTGCACTTCCCCACCATGTTCATCGAGGGCGACTTCAAGATGGAGGGCAAGATCGGCAACTTCCCCTTCGCCGGCCGAGGCCCGTGGAACGTCAGCATCAGTGAGTACTTGATGAGGTGCCAGCAGCTCAAAACTCGTGACGTCAAATTTACCCTTTTTCTCTTCTTTTCTCCTCCTTCCGCAGCCGACCTGAAGGCCACGTGGCATCTGATTGGCGAGACCGGCGAGAAGGACGGCGAGAAGTACATGCAGATCAAGAGGTTCATCCCCACCTACACCGTGGCCGGCATGAGGAGCAACGCCGAGAACCTCGTGGAGGGCGCCCCGGAGCTCAGTGAGTTGTCCACTCCACTCGAAAACGAAGGAAAGAAATACTTTGTTGAGGTCAATAACTCTGTTCGATTGGATGAATCGATAGCTGCAATCGAAAATCAGGTAACCTGCGCCTGCGGTTTAGAACAGTGTGCATACAGTCGCACATTTGAAACAGCGTGCCAAGCATTTGCGTTGGCGCAGGAGTAATTTGTGATTGCAGCTATCGAACTCAACCGTCGAACCGATCGAGCAAAGTCGACTACCACAACAAAGTCTTTTCGCCTTGCGGAAGTACCTGTAGACTAATACAACACCTGTGGGCGTGTGAGTGTGCAGCGAGGGGGCAACCACATTGGATGTTTGGGACACAAGATTTCTCAAGGCTAAAGATTGCATCGGATTTTAATCGATATTCCGCCCAAAATTAGCTTGTTTTAGGCTTTTTTGGGGCAAGATTTCAGATTTCTCAGAGATTTCTAGCGCCAAGGGGACACGAGATTTCTAGAGTGGTTGCCCCCTTGTTGCCCCCTCGGCGTGCAGTGCGTAGCCGTGTCCTCACGTGAGACATGCTTCCGTCTGTTTAGCCAACCTGGCGCTGAACCTCATCAACCAGTACTGGGAGCCCGTGCTGGCCGCCATGCAGCCCACCGTCAAGCCCGAGCTGGAGCGCCACATGAAGCGCATGGCCAGCAGCGTGTTCGACAGTGTGCCCTACAACACTCTCTTCCCCGCGGCCTGAAGCCCAGTAGCCCAGTAGCAATCTGTGATTTGTTATTATTGTTAGTTTACTATTATTCCATACCGTGTTCGTCAGCTCTTTGCTCTCTAGCGAGAGACATTAAACCGTAATAAGCATCGCTTCTTTTTTGCCACCAATATAAACCAATAAATCTACCAAAAAAACAAGACAAGGGTTTGAAAGTTTGCACACGTTGAAAACCTTACGAAGTATTTCGGGTGACATACATATTTTTTATCACTTTGTTCGAGGGGCAGGTGCAAAGTTGCATGCACGAGGGTTGATTTAAGGGGGTTGTTTCATCCCCACGGCAAAAACAGTTCCTCGTTTTCCCAGGGGAAATCACGTGTGTCTTTACTGTGAGCTTCCTGGGAAAATAAGGAACCGTTTTTGCCGTGCCAAACGCAAACTTTTACAAAAAGCGAGGAAACCTTAGGAACAGTGTATTACTCCAAATGGAAACATTCAGCGCGCTTCACAAAGCAACCTTTAAAAGCGCTCACCAAGAAGCCATTCCTTCTATTTCCCTACAAACTCCACCCGGAATGCGGGCTGACCTGACGCCTTTCTCCGAATTTCCATGATGCAGCAAAAGACATTTAAAGCACAACCCCAAGGGAAAGCGCTGTGACTCTTCAGCAAGGCACCCTCATGAAAAGAGATAGGTTGGCCCGGCAGGTCAACCAGCCCCCCCCGACGGCGCCCAACCACCGTGCGAACCTCGCCACGGCCCCGAGGTGGAGCGTAGCCGCGTTCACCTTCGACGGCACCTGCATTGACACCGTGTCGACACCTGCCACGCGGCGCCCGGGAGGTAGGCAGCCCACCGTACGCCGCGTCTCCCCCTCCCTCGCACGGCACCTGCATTGACACCGTGTCGACACCGTACGCCGCGTCTCCCCCTCCCTCGCACGGCACCTGCATTGACACCGTGTCGACACCTGCCACGCGGCGCCTGGCACGCAGGCAACACCCAAGACACGGCACGCCAAGTGGTTGCCGTGGTCCGCCGGGTGCCATTGCCAGTACCATTAAGGGCTAGACCACACGTGATCGTATGCCACTTCGGGCCCGACACAAGCTCGCCTGCACTGCAAAACGAGCCGCTGCCTCGGGAGGGAGAGGGAAGAGAATAAATATTTCCATTCATTTCGATAGGAGGAAGGAGAGTGAAAGGTGGTTGAAAATACGCTTGAAACTAAAGCCTAGCAACCTCCACACATGAAGAAAGGCTTCAAAATACCCTTCAGTACTTCGGTTCCATCAATTTATTTTGTTTGCGGCGGTAGGTTGAAAGAACCGTGCCAATTTATAACAGTCGGTAACTTGGTAATTTATTAATAAGATAGACTCGAAGAGTCCGTTGTATCACAATTTTACAATGTCACAATGTCATGATGCCCCAGGCTGTAGTCTGTCGCCGTCGTCCCCGTCAGTGGCGATGGTCCCTAGGCGCTCTCCGGGAACATGTCCTCGATGGGCAGGTTCTTGGCGATCTTGTTGGCCCAGGCGAGCGCCTTCTGGCTGGCGGCGCGCTCGGCCAGCGGCTCGGCCATCCACGCGAACTCCTTGGAGCGCTCATTGATCATGCTCAGCACGAGGTCCTCTGCGAATCACAGGACGAGGCATTCACATTACATTATACACTGGTAGAACTGAAGTGTCCTTTTACATTTTTGAAAGCGTGGTGGTTGCCACGCATAGTGGGTCAGAAGACCGGTGGAGGCGGCCAAACCTCTGGACGCCTTTTGAACTCCAGACTAGCTGTATGCGACTTGAAGCGACCGTAGGACCCTACAAATGGATTCCTCGTCCGGAGAGCATTCCGTTGGTGGGGTCACGCGTTTGGTTCCAGTACCATTTAGCGACTGTGGAGCTCAAAACGCGTTTAGAATTTTGGCCGCCTCCACCGGTCTTCTGGCCACTGTGCCAACGCTTGGCTCAAACCGTAGTTCTCCATCCCTCTCTCTCTCTCTCTCTCGCTCGCTCCTAACATGCTTTTCTAAATGCATTTGATAATTTATTATTTCTTCTCTACACTTGACATGAAGCGTAAATTCTTCGAGCGTAGTTGTATACAATAACTACGCTTTAGTTTTACCAGTGTACGGTGACGATGAACCGACAAACGCCACCGATCCTCACCCTGACCTGGGCCAACAGGTGGCGCCCAGTGTACTCACCGAGGAACTTGTTGTCGCGGAACAGGCCGTCCAGGCGGATCTTGTAGTCGCCCAGCTTGACGTCCAGGTCCAGGGTCTTGAAGTTGTAGTAGGACTTGCCGTCCCGCTTCACGATCTTGCCCTCGAGCACGGCGTTGGCGCGGATGCTCGCTGTCGGGGAGGAGTAGGGGTTAGTTCAATCCTGCCGTGAACAGCGGTCTATCGCCTGACGGGTAGGCAATCCGACGCACCGCAGTGTTGCGGGCTGGCCTCCGCGTCTCACAGGCGCTGAGTCCGCGCCAGTAGCCTGAATCCGAGATTCGCATTCGTCGCTCTGGCTCTCTCGCACTCACGGGCACCTCGGTTAGGCTGCGAGACGACAGAGCGACGGCAACTACTCCGGCAACTGACGTCTGCAGTCAGTCTGCGTCTACTCACTGGCGTTGCCGTTGACGAAGCCAGCCCCGTTGATCCTCATCATGGGCGTGGGGATGTCATGGGTACTGGCCGGGTGTACTTGACGTCGGGGAACTACAAGCGATGTAGAAGTGTTGCGAGGCAGGTCAGCCCTGAGGGAAGCAAAAAGGCCCATTTCAAGCGGCCAAGCTTGCCTAAGGCTGGGAGCAATGAGCCATGTTGCGATCGCTCAGTCTCACAGCGCAAACGCAATCCGGCTGTACTTGATTTAGGTCCATTTCGTCGTCCTGACTACCGCACCCGTATAGTCGAGGAACAGCGACGGCAACTACCGCACTCTTTGCAATCAGTCTGCTCTACTCACTGGCGTTGCCGTTGACGAAGCCAGCCCCGTTGATCCTCATCATGGGCGTGGGGATGTTCATGGTGTACTGGCCGGTGTACTTGACGTCGGGGAACTCCACACCGATGTAGAAGGTGTTGCGAGGCAGGTCAGCCCTGAAGGAAAATAGAAAAATATTGTTTCAAAACACGATGAAAATGCTTCATACACTTTAAATGCCTGACAGTAAAATTTGAACTATGTCACTGTGCATTCGACGCAAGCATAATAAAATGCAATGTTTTTTATTTTGATTGTAAGGTACAAAGAAACACGTTCATCACTGAAAAACCAAACGTTGTCTAGGCCACACCACTGGTGTTGTCAAATGGGTGCCATTTTGACCGCATCTGTTGGTGTGGTCTAGACCATGTTTTGCCACGTTTGGTGTGGTCTAGACCACGTTTGGTGTGGTCTTTCCATGCAATGGCCACACCAAACGCACCAAACGTGGTCTAGACCACACCAACTGATGTGGTCAAAACGGCACCCATTTGGCCTCACCAGTTGGTGTGGTCTAGACCACGTATGGTTTTTCCGAGGGGTGACTCACTGTAAAATTTTGTGTACAATGATTGTGTGAATGTGCAAGAATGTGCCAGATTTCTGGCGTTTTTGCCACACATGTTGCCTACTTACAGGCGTTTTTGCCTCCTGAATGTGGAATGTGGTCAAATTTTGTACAACGAATGTGGGAAGCTGTTCCCCCCTCGGGTTTTTCCGTGATGATACGAGGCGAAACTACGTCCGAATGAAGCTTGTGATATTTTCTTCGTACGATGGGAAATTCCTCCGCGTAAGAGACATTTAGAGTGTACGCAGCGCGTTCTCGGCTGAACTGCGCACGGGGAGGTACTTCTAAACAGGCCGCGGAGACGGAAAAGTTGGAAAGGATTAAACACAGAGCACTTTGGCACTCGGGTTCCGCGTGTCGCCGTCCGCGGCACCATTGTTGGTCAAGGAGTCCTGATGATCGGTTATTACCGACCTGAACGTCAGCGCGCTCGTGTGCGTGAGTGCTATTTGCAAGTAGGCAGAACATGCCAGCATCTTGGCTCGGACTCACCGCTGCAAACTCAACCGAGAACTCAACGAGTGCATTCAGTACAGTCTCTTTCTGCGTGAAGTCACCTGCAGGATAGTGTGCTCATTTGAGTACACAATTAGGAGAGAGTATCCATTTGAGTCCACTACCAAGGACAGTGCCCTTATTTGAAATAGTTCACTGCGTCAGGAGTGTGTGCTCACATGACTATACTACCAGTAGAGTGTACTCAGATAAGCATGCCTTGTAATATATTCAACTGTAGGTGCGTCCTCTTCTGAGTACTCGCTCCTGCGTGTGTCTTCATAGTACACGCCGAAGATGGTATACTGATTGCACTGTTGAATTTGCTCAGCAGGGACCGTGGCCGGGTAGCGTGATGCCTCCAGGCCAACAGGCACTAACCAGGGTGGGGGCATTGTACACAGAGGCAGAGTAAACTAACGAAAAGTAATGGCCCTCCTAAAATTATCGAAGCGGGTTCTGCAGTGCAGAGTGCATGTCCCATAATCTGCCGTCATTTTGGCAGAATCGCGTGACACGTACAGTACACTGTGGGAGAACTAGTGTCGCTCATATCGTCAATGATCGGCGCAAAAAATTGGAACGAGAGAAAAGGTAAATTGCTCGGTGATAACAAAGACACTGCAAGTCCGGCGGCAAGTTTGCTTGCCACAAAATTGGCAAGCCTTGACCTACAATCTTCATTTGCCGATATTTGACGCCTAAACTGCCAAATTTTGGCGAGCTGAGGAGTATTTCACGGCCTGGCTTGGCAATTTTCAGCATTCAATGCCAATTTTGTGGGAAGCAAACTTCCATCGACTTTTGCTCTGCAGACGGATTACAATTTTTCATGCAGTGTATGAGCGTGGGAACGCGAGTTTATTGCGAGGAGATAGGAAATGCAGAGCGGCGGGACGGGATCGTTCTTAACGAACCAGTGGTCCCGCTGTCCTTGCGGAGCACCTCCAGCAAACGGACTCCAAGATTCGTTTTCTTCGCTCTGTCTCTCTCGCACTTATACGGGACGCCCCACGAGTGCGAGAGAGATAGAGCGACGAAAACGACTCTCGAAATCAGTTTGCTGTTACCCCTGTGCGGTGCTCGAGGCGGTGCTACTCACTTGAGCCTGAAGACGCGGAAATTTTCGGCGCCGGAGATGAGCAGATTGCGGCCCACGATCCTGTACGAGGATCCAGCAGGGCTCACCACCACCTCGTCGATCCTCAGACCCTCCAGGGCCGGGACGTCCAGCTCGGGGATGCCTGAACCGAAACAACGACCCGGTGTAAAAGAAATGCGTTTTCTACACTTGAAAAATCTTACAAAAAAACTCACACCCTTCTTTTAGAGTGCAAAAAACATTTTTCAAACATAATATGGAATCATATGCTTGTGTTTATGCTTCTTTGTACCTTACAAAGTGAAGACAAAAGAGATTAATCTCGTAATATATACAACTTTGGCTGTATCATGTTTCCATAAACCACTGCTGCTGTAAGAAATTTTGAATGTTTGTTCCTTTTCCTCAGTGTAAAGCACTTATTCTCACGCCCATCCTCAATCTTGTCTTCATTGCGTTTAGATAATTTTTTAAAGATTTTTTTTATAGATCATCTTTTGTTTTTAATGTTTGTGTTGGTTGGTTGCCTACCCTTGTTGATCCTCGGGCGCAGCTCGTTCACGGCCTTGACGATGCAGTCCTCGAGGCCGTTGCCGCGTTCGCACGTAGGGATGAAGTCAGCTGCAACAAGGGGAAACAACACACAATTCATATTTTATTGTTTTTTTTTTGTTTTTTTTTAATTTTTGAACGAGTGGATTAATTGTTTTGTTTACATCGTTTCGTCAGAAATGAACATTGTCGCAACAAGGCGGCGACACTGATAGGATTCTCCAAATGAGCTGACTCGAAGGAAGAAGAATAAAAATGGAAGTCAGAAAAATGACATTTTCTTTACAAGGGGATGATGTCTAGAGCTCAACCACAACGCTTATTTCTCTTAAAAAATTTCATTTTGACTTCCGGTTTTGTTCTTCTTTAGGGCCAGACCACCTTTCATAAACTCTATTAGGTGGGGTCGATCAACCAAGAAAAATATTTATATGTTTGTTGTTGTTTAAATTTTTGCCGCCGTCCACGCCTGTTGGGGGACTCACGGAGCTGGGCGGCGGCGGTGGCGAGGACGACGCACAGCACGGCGAGGGACGGGGACGCCATGGCGACGGTGTGCTCGACGGCCTGCTTCGCTCTAACACGGAAGACGCGCACACTGGCAATGCCGGCCGGTGGACACCGCCGCCTCTTTTATAAGCAGGCCTTGCGCCTTGTGATGGCGCACGTCGCGGCGGCGGTGATAGCGGAGAGCGCTGCCGAGCATCCCGTCGCTCTGTCTCTCTCGCTCTCAGGGCTCTCTCCTGCAGGGGTGAGAGAGACAGAGCGACAAACTGCTCTTCTGAACCGCACGGCTGAGGCGACCTTGTGGGAGGCCGCGGCCGCGGGGAGGACCCTCCGCCCAGGTCCTCCCACGATGCCGGCAGGGCAGCAGACTATGATTCCGAGAGTCGTTTCCGTCGCTCTGTCTCTCGCGCACGCATGGCGCGTCTCGTGTAGGAGCGAGAGAGACAGAGCGACGAAAGCGGCTCTCGAAATCAGTCTGCAGGCAAGCCGCCCGGCCGCGACCCGGACCATGTCCACGTCCACCCACGACGAGTGCGGAAGATGCGGTGCGGCGCCACCCGGCAGGGGCGGATCCAGAAACACTTGGACGGGGCCGTGACACACGTTTTGCCTACTTACAGGTGGAATGCCAGAGTGCTGAATCTGGCGGAGGGAGCCATACCCCCCCCCCCCCCGCCCCCTCTCTCCCATCTCCTGGAGCCGCCACTGGCCGCCTGGCTGCCCCCGGAGGGGTGGTGGTGGTGCCCTACAGCCGGATGATAAGTGACCAAGGAGATAAGGACACGGGAAAACTGTATTCGATATTCGATCTGTGGGCTCCCAACTGCACGAGAACCGGTTGGAGCATACATAGTTCGCATCATTCAAACATGCAACTATGCTTTGAGTCCAGCTTTGATAATTTATGTATTTTGATGTATTTAGAACGTCGGGAGAAAGAGGTGGTTCAGAATAGAAGTAACACTTGGAGCAAAGCGTGGCGACCACGACGCCAAGAAAAGCGTTAAAGAACGCTTCAGTTCTACCAGTGCGGGCACTCTCTGCCTCGCCAGGCCTTTCCCCCACGCGTCTACATGAGCACTGACCACGTGACCGCGGCTTGCCTGCTGGACGCGGTGCGGCGGTTCGTCTTGTCCAGCACAAAGAAGTGCGGCGCCCTTGCCGTCACCTTCGACGCCACCGAGAGACTAATCGCCGTAGTCGGTGCTTTGGAGGATCATTTTGGCCCACCGCCTCGTCTCCCAGTGGCGTGGCTTGGCCCGCGCGCACAGTGGGCCAGAAGACCGGTGGAGGCGGCGAAACCGCTAGACGCGTTTTGAGCTCCAGAGTCGCTAGATGGGACTCGAATCGAACGTGTGGCCCCATCAATGGATTGCTCTACGAACGAGGAGTCCATTGGTGGGGTCACACGTTCGGTTCGAGTCCCATTTAGCGACTCTGGAGCTCAAAACGCGTCCGGGATTTTGGCCGCCTCCACCGGTCTTCTGGCCCACTGTAGCGCGGCTGAGTCTTATGGTGTGGCAGGGAATCCCACGGCGAGGCGGCCGAAGGCGCCAAAGGCAGGCCGTCCACTGCACTGCTCATTTGCGAAACCGCAGCCACCGACCGCCACGCCCCGCAACCTCGCCTCGTCGCTCTGTCTCTCTCGCACCCATGCGGCACGCCCCACGAGTGCGAGAGAGACAGCGCGCCGAAAGCGCCGTTCGGAATCAGCCCGCCGGCGCGGCCCGCGCGCACTGGACGCCGCGAGCTGGCTTGAATTTTTATTTTTATAACGACGCCGTGGAGTACAACAACACAGCCAAAGCACGCACCGTGCGGAATCTGCCGCGACGCCAAGCGTATCCCTCGGAACCGCGGCGGCTACTATTTAAAACTACATGTGACTGCTTCTATTTTTGTTTTTGTTATTATGCAGATGAAAGTCGTTACAGAGATGAGTGCTGCACTCCAGGATGCGAATCTTCCGTCCGCACTCCGCCGCTTGGGGCATCGACAGGGTGGCCTCGCCGCAAACAGAGTGGTCCGGAACTTGGGTAAAAACAGTGTTCTGGTTTCCCCGGCCCACTCTGGAAGAACGATCTCTTTTTTCCCTGCAGGTTGAGCCCCCCTCGTAAAACGAACAAATTAAAACTTGTATAGTTTTTATTAGTTTTTTAGTAAATTTTGTTAAATTTTAAAAATTGAATTAAATTTGACTAAACTTAAGTATTTTTAATTCATTTTCATTTGCAAAACTAAAATTTGTTAATCTTTGTAAGCTGCTTTGTCTAAATCTTAAATTAAATTGAATAAATGCAGCTTACAAAGATTAACAAATTTTAGTTTTGCAAATGAAAATTAATTAAAAATACTTAAGTTTAGTCAAATTTAATTCAATTTTTAAAATTTAACAAAATTTACTAAAAAACTAATAAAAACTATACAAGTTTTAATTTGTTCGTTTTACGAGGGCCAGTAGATCCGGCCACTGTCTTTATGCCGTGAAGACTCGAAGAGCTCCAACGTCATGAAAATGGTACTTGAATGAATCGAACTATTTTTGACCGCCACTCCTTCAAACGAGGAATTTCATGGCACCACCAGTATCGCACTTTTTGATTTGAGTTCCCTGCATCATGCAATTCATAACGTGTTCAAAGTCGTCTCGTCGTCTCCACCTGAATTGGTCTCCTCGCCCACTGAGCGTTGTAATCTACGCCCTGAGTCAACGCAGTGTTGCCACACTCGTAGGAAGGCAAAAATTTCCATCGATGTCGAAAAAGCAGCTAACCCAAGCCTGCCTGGTAGGCAATACCAGGGGCTTTGCTCTCGAAAAGTTGCCTAGCAGGCAATATCGGGACTCTCCTCTTGAAAAGTTGCATCAGGGCTTCCCAGTCCTAAAAAACCATGGAGGGTCCCATGGTGCATGGGACATCATGGGATTGCATGGGAAGCAAAATCCCATGGTGTCCAAAACACCCCTCATTTTTGGCCCCTTTTACCATGAGAAAATTCCATGGTGTCTGGTTTGCATGGTGTACTGGTCCCATGACATCCCTCGTACACATGGCGTGCCAAGTGCCTTGTCACAAAGTCAAGCGAAGAGACACGAGGCGTTCATCTGTTCTCTTCACCCACGTAAAAATTCGATGCTGAACACGATGGAGCGGTCGCCGTCACTCTATCTCTAGTAGTTTTCAAGTTGCAGAGGGATTCTGAATAATCTCTGGAGACTTCAACGCACGGGCAAGAGCACGTTACCATGGTGCGAGCGCCACCATGGGGAAGCCATGCTTCACCATGACGATAGACACCATGGTGGTTCTTTCACCACGGAATTATTTGTCGCCCCATGCCGTGGTGTAAGAGTGCTCGTGGTGTTTTCCTAAATTTCCATGGCGAAAGATCATCGTCTCGTGGGAAGTCATCCATGGGACCCCATGTGCTCCATGGTTTTTTGCGACTGGGTTTCCTCTCGAAAAGTTTCTTAGTAGGCCATATCAAGGTTTTGTTCTTGAAAAGTTGCCTAGTAGGCAGGCTGAGGTGTTGGCACGCGTGTTGGCATCGCTTTGGACGCCAGTGTATCGTGGGAAGTTTTGTTTACTTGTGTGGCGGCAACACTGTGAGGCGTCCGGAAAGGTCCTGATTTGCACGTGCTTCGCGCTGCCGCTTCGCGTTTCGCGCTTCGCCCGGGGCGCTCCGTGTCTCGCCCGTGATTTTCCGCCCGCGACCAGTTCCCTCCAGGCCCCTCCGTGCCGTGCAGAAGCCCAAAGTCATGAAAGCAATCCGCCGCTGCGTCGCAATGTCACTCCGGGTGACGTCGGGTCTCTCTCTCTCTCTCTCTCTCTCTCTCTCTCTCTCTCTCTCTCTCTCTCTCTCTCTCTCTCTCTCTCTCTCTCTCTCTCTCTCTCACTCTCTCTCTCTCTCTCTCTCTCTCTCTCTCTCTCTCTCTCTCCTCTCTCTCTCTCCTCTCTCTCTCTCCTCTCTCTCTCTCTCTCTCATCTCTCTCTCTCGTGACGTCGGTCCGGAACACAGACGATGCACTAGAGCGGTTGGTCGATCTGTCTCCCTCACACCCTTAAGGTGAGCCCCATGAGTGCGACAGAGACAGAGCGACGACACGACTCTTCCAAATCGCCCGGCAGTCCGGGAGGTCCGGACGCGCGAAGAAGCCAAGCCGAAACGAAACTGTTCCGCGCGGCTCCTCGCCGCTCCGTCAACCAGCAGACTGATTCCGAGAGTCGTTCTTGTCGCTCTGTATCTCTCGCACCTAAACGGGACGCCCCATGAGTGCGAGAGAGACAGAGCGACGAGAACGACTCTCGGAATCAGGCTGCAGGACGCAGTGACGCAGTCCGGTATGTCACCGCGCGGCGTGCCTCCACCAGAAGTCTGCTTTATTCGAGCAGTGCCTCGTCGCTCTGTCTCTCTCGCACCCCCACGGGACGCCGCGTGAGTGCGAGAGAGACAGAGCGTCGTATGAGAATGGCTGGACCGGCTGGACGTGACGCGCGCGCACGCAATGGCAACGAGATGGCCCTGCACGCCGACAACCCTCTCGTCGCTCTGTCTCTCTCGCACTCATGGGGCGTCCCGCGGGGGTGCGAGAGAGACAGAGCGACGAAAGGACCGTTCGGGATGCAGCTTGGTTGGAGCTGGCGACAAGCCACACGAACCGACGTCCACGGCGCGGCGCGCTCGCGGAGCATCGACAAAGTCTTCCCCGGTCTTCCAGCGTCATTGTAGTGCTGATGCCGAGAGTCGCTGTCGTCGCTCTGTCTCTCCCGCACCTATGGAGGACGCCCACCCACGAGAGAGAGAGACAGAGCGACGAGAACTACTCACAGAATCAGTTTGCAGAAGCTCGTTTGGAACCACGGTGTCTGCGCTCTGCACATCAACGGTGATGTCTTGTCACTCAACGAATCGCCTCCACCCATACTCCATTGTCTTACAGCGAAAGGATGTACATTAGAGAGAAAACTTCTCCATAACGCAAAAGAAATTCGGTAAAATGTTGAAAGTGCACCAAGAATTTTTCAGAGGTAAGTCACAAAGTCAGCTGCACCAATATGGAGGAATTTCCACTGAATTATGGAAAATCTTCACCATGAGACTTTGAGAGTGCAACTCGCGCGCGCCCGCACTGTGCCGAGCCGCTGGGCACTCGCCTCTCTCCACGCCTCTGGAACGAAAGTAGTGTAGCCGGTGATGCAATTTTGTTAATTGAATTCAGTGCACCCATAACTCCGCCCGACTCAAAGTGATATCGAAATTACCTCATGGATAATGTAATAAAATTGGCAGCATTGCATCTCACTGAGACACACTGTTTGAAAATCTGTGTTGGGTTTTGTTTTTTGCGTGGTGGCAAATAATGTGGCTGCTGCAGACTGGGCTACGCTCCGCGGGCATTGGGTCTAGGTGACGTTGCTGGAACGTGCAAGGGCCTGGCGGGCTTCTTGAACTAAAGATTTCGGCGGCAAAAAGAAGAACAGCGAGAGGAACAAGGAGAAGAGCGATAGTCATTTGGAGAGCACCCACAAACTGATTCCGAGAGTCATTTTGCGTCTCTCTCGCACCTGCAGGGCACGCCCCATGAGTACGAGAGAGACAGAGCGACGAAAACGACTCTCGAAATCAGTCTGCTGGCCGTTTACGTAACGGGTATGCCAAAAGCCGAAGCCGAACCCATAGCGAAGTGCACGGCGTGATGGAACTCAAAAAAATAAAAAATCAGCTGGGAGATGAGGGCACTGCGGGGGTTCACCTGGAGCACTTGCCAGTCGGGGGGAGGGGGGGGGGCGCAACCGGTCCGGGCGGCTTCGGCCAAGTTGAGACCGCTTGGCGCAAGTCAGGACTGGGTCAGCCAAAGGACCGCCCCATGCCGCCCTGCACTGCTCAGCCGAGGGCCCGAACCTTTGACTAATTAACCTCGCGGTTCGGGAGCGGACACCACCAAATGTACAGTCCTCCTAAAAGCCAGAGGGAGTTATTGCGGGATTTTGAACCTCAGTAAAGAAATGCTGATTCAGGCGATGGTACACTAATGTGCGGGACGCATGAGCGAAAAAGGAAAGACTGTTAATTTTGTTCAAAACGTTGAACTCGATAGCTGCAAACGAAAATACTGTGCATACAGCCAAAAGCTGGATAGCCACGGCCCAACCCTAACATTTGTTCGATGACAGCTAGGGTCAGGGCGGGGAAGAACTGGACAGGGGAAGAACTGAACACCCAATATTTTTCTTCAAATGCTGTATGCGCAGGCTTAACAACAATCATGTGAACCGCTGATGCCACGGAACAACTTTTGATGGTTGTTATGCCTGTGCATAACGTATTTGCAGTAAAATATGGGGCGTTCAGCTATTCCTCTGTCTAGTCCTTCCTTCCCCTGACCCTAATATGGGGTTGGTTTTCAAGTGGACGGTCGCAGCAACCGGCTGTGGTTGTAGGTATCGGTTTCATTCGATTGTTATTTATCGAATTTATCCTATACAACAGAGTTAATCACCTCACTAAAGTCTTTTTTTTTTCAGTGTGAGCAAAGCAGGCCCCAAGACATCTTGTTGCCGATACTTCGCAAAATGCGTCATCCCAAAATGCGTCAGCCAATGGCAGGCGGCCCCGGCCTCTAGGGAGAATCTTTAGGAGCCGTGCTGCCCCGAGGCTGGGGTCGAGGTTTGCTTATGGCACCAGGACCCACCAGGACCCGCTAGGACCCGCCAGGGCATTGACAGAGCAATCATACCCGGCGTGTGTTAAGAGCAGGCCGCTCTGCAGTCGCCTAGTGCAGTGTGAAGAAACAACCTTGGGGCCGGATGGCATACACCGTGCGGCTAATAGCACACACACATACGCACACACATAGACGCACTCATACGAAGAAATACACACACATAAGCACACTCACACATACGCACACACTCCCGTACACACGCAGACACGCGCGTGCGCTCACACACTCGCTCGCGTTCAGGACTCTCCCACTCGTCCGCCCAACGCAGGGACGATGGGAAAAAGAGGGGGGGGGGATCACAAGTGTACTCATGTGTACCAATTTGCCCGTACTCAGTGTACTCACAAGTTTAAAAATGGCGAAATTCACTGGTTTTTTTACCGATTTGGGGTTGAGTGCCGTTTAAAACGCTAAATAAAGCCTTAAAATGTGTTCAAATGTGAAGTTTATGAGTAAAGGAAGGTGTACTCACTCATGTACTCATGTGTACACCAGAACGCAGAGGGGGGGGGGGGTCTGTCACCGCATCCACGGTCTGAGCACAAGGGAAAGTAAAAGACGCGCTCTCTAAATGTTGTACAGTGAAGATTCTCTACATGGTTAAAATGTTCCATATTATGGTGGTGCAGCTGACTTCATAACATACCATTGAGAGTTCACTGTACCTTATACATATTTTGACGAATTTGTATTATGGTATTATGGAGAAAATCTCCACCATAATATGTTGGTGCAGCCTTTCACCGTAAGACGTTCACAGTGCGTGTATCGCACGTTTTCCCGCCAAAAGTTTACTCGCCGCGCGGAGGCAGTTCAGCGCGCGTCTCTGCGTCAAGTCCGCGGGAAAGGAAAGGGCGAAACGCGCAGAGCGCACGCGGGGCGTCGCGCCGCGTAGCGGGATGCAGCGCAGGACGCGAAGCGCCCCCTCCCCCTCCTCCCCTCTCCCCCGCCGCCGCCGCCGCCACTGCCAGGAACTCGACGTGGCCTTGAACTTGGCGGGCAACCGGAACGACGGCCTGCCCGCGTCCCCCGCGCCTCCCCGCCGCCGCCGAGCGAGCCGCCCCCATGACGTAACGGCGACGCGGCGGCGCCGCAGGCAGCCACTCTCGATTAATCGAGAGTCCACGCCGGGCGGGCTTCAAATAGGAGGGGCGGTGGCAAAAGGGAGGGGGGAGGGGGGGCTCCGAGGGGTCGTTGCCACACGCGGCAGGTCGACAAGGGCACGAGGATGGTCATTAGACGCAGTGCCCGCCACCGGAGCGCACCTGCAGTCCGACTCCCGACCAAGCTCCCGACAGTGCTCCGTCGCTCGCTCTCTCTCTCTCTCTCTCTCTCTCTCTCTCTCTCTCTCTCTCTCTCTCTCTCTCTCTCTCTCTCTCTCTCTCTCGGAGGGCCTCGTGAGAGCGAGAGGGACAGAGTCCCCGTTCGGAATCAGCCGGTGGTCGCACTGTCGTAATGCAAAGTGGCAAAAAAAGTGAACTGAATATTTTTTTCTCTTTAACAGCTAGCTGCTGCGCCGTTCGCAGAGACGGCGGCTGAGATCACCACCTACCTTGCGGTGGACGAGAGGGCCTTCCTGAGGGCGCAGCGGCGCGGTCCCGGACAACAGGGGATGGCGTCATGGACGCCGCCCGACATTGTCGAGTTTTACAAGTGAAAAGAAAATACGCTGGCCGGTCCTCTGATACTCGCATGCGCGTGGCGGGGCGTGGTGAGGCGGGGTGGGGTGGGGTGGGGCGGGGGGGTGGGGCGGGGTGGGGCGGGGTGGCGGGGCGGGGCGGGGGGGGCGGGGCGGGGCGGGGTGGGGCGGGGCGGGGCGGGGTGGGGCGGGGCGGGGCGGGGTGGGGGGGGGCGGGGCGGGGTGGGGCGGGGTGGGGCGGGGCGGGGCGGGGTGGGGCGGGGCGGGGCGGGGGTGGGGCGGGGCGGGGCGGGGCGCGGCGTCGCGGTGAGGAAAGCACGGTGCCCGCAGCCGGCCCGCGACACGTTTTCCTTGGCCTTTATATTCAGCCCGGCCAAACTGGGTTAAATGTGAGGTGCTCTTCAGCGCGGCGGCACGGCGGCACGGCGCGGCGCGGGTCTTTGGTGCGGACGGGCGCGCGCTGATTGGCTGGTTTCACTGTCCCCTCCCCGGCGGGGCGCGCCCCCCACCCTGCCCCCTCCTCACTACCCCCCGTCGCGTATGACCGATTTATTTGATCCTCCCCCACCCTGCGACCGCCCCCCGGCCGCCCCCGGCCGCCTCCCGACCGCCCCCGGCCACCGCGACGCCCCTCCGAAAGTATTAAATAGTCGGGGCCGCACTCGCGCGCCGTAGTACTCCGCGCTGCGAGCCTGGCCGACGCGTCTCCGCGGTCGCCGACGAAGTGACCGACGCCCACGCGCCCCCCTGACGCGGCCGTCGACCCCCCCGCGTGGCCAGCGCGTCGTGCCCCAGGATGGCGTCCAGGACGGCGCCCAGGATGGCGTCCAGGATGGCGCCCAGCTGCTGCAGGCTGGCCCTCGCCGGCGCCGCCCTGCTCGTCTTTGCCGTGGGATTAATTCGCTCGGAGATCCGTAAGTCGATCGTGATCCTGGTGCACGCGGTGCCCGCGTCCCCGCGGCGGTGACGTTGCGGGGGCACGACCTTGGTCACCACGGCACTGATAGGCCCGTACTTTGGAGGGCATTCCGAATCGTACCGGCGTGATCCACGATTCCACTTGTGAGTGACAAAGGGCCAATGGGTCCCCACCTTCGCCGACCGGCTTTCTCAATACTCGGCCGTGGTCCAGTCAAGGGATCCCGCCGCCGCCGCCCTGTCTCTCTCGCACCTCTACGGCACACTCCATGAGTGCGAGAGAGACAGAGCGACGAGCGTGCGGGCAGCCGAATCGCTCGACAGCCTCCAGCTTCCAGCCCAAAACGGGGCTTGCAGGCTTGCAGGCAGCGCGGCTTGCTGTGCAGCCTTATGGTGTGCCGGCCACCGCGGCGGACCGCGGTGCCGCGGCAACATGGCTATGGTCAAGTGTCCCAGTATTCCCCGAGGGGTCGGCACAGCAGTGGTCGGCAGGCCTGGATCCTGGCACGCTGCGCTGCTGCTGCTCTTGCGGGCGAGTTGCGTTAGCCATGCGCCAGCCGGGGCACAGCCTGGCGCAGCGCGGGCCACGTGACAGACACCCCCACCCCCTCAACACACACACACACGCGCACACACACACAAACACACACACAACAACAGGCGGGGATCCACAGGAGGGGTGAGGGGAGGCACGGGAGCGTTCCGTCCCCTGAACGCGTAGGGCGTAGGGCCCGAAAGGTAGGCAAAAAGACGCACTTTGTACTTGTGTGTAGGCAACTTTTGCGACATGGTAAAGGTGACGCACATGCTATTGAAGCAATTGGTCTATTCAAGGGTGGGCGGGGCACCTGCCAAACGATTTCGACAGCGTGGGAACTGCTGTCACTCAGACTTACACACACGCAGTGCACTCACACACACACACACACACACACACACACACACAGATGTGCATCCACACGCACAGATGTTCATCCACACGCACAATCATCTGCTAGTTCCTTAGCGAGGCGCTTTTGGCCTTGAACTTGGACCCGGGCTATGGCCTGTCCGGGACGTGAGGTAAGCAATGATGAAAGTGCAAAGTAAGTTCGCCGCGTGTCTGTGTGTGTACCGATGACGAGCCGTTTAGCTGTGCAGGCAGATTCGTAGTTGAGTCGAGAGTTGAGTTCATGGTCGTTAGGTTCGGAGGGGCGCAAGGAGAGGTGGCGGGCCCCAGTGACATCAATATGATCAATACTTTTTTTGTAAACAGAACAAAATTTGTTATTAAAGTGAAAAACAACCTCTTTTTTGCAGCCGAGTACATTAAAGTATGCAAGAGGACGGATCCCAACGTCAATAAATGCATCAATGCTTCCATCAACGCACTTAGACCAAAATTACTTAAAGGTAAGTACGGCCCTGTTTCTTAATCACTTGCTTTATTTTAATTTTCAAATATTATTAACCATTTTGTTCGTGTTCCCAGGAATACCGGAGTTGGACGTCCCGGGGGTGGACCCATTGTACCTGAAGGAGGTGCGGTTGTCGCGTGGGCCCTCGGGTGCGCGACTGGACGCCACCATTACCAACATCAAGGTCTTCGGCGCCAACACCTTCGTCGTGCAGGAGCTCAAGTACGTGCCGACGCAGTGCTGCCACTAATAGGCAAAAATCTCCACCATGCACCGAAAGGGTTGCCAACCTCAGCCTGACTACGAGGCCACTAATTCTCAACTGGGTTGCCAACCTCAGCCTGCCAATAGGCAACTTCTTGAAAAGGTTGCCAACCTCGGCCTGCCTACTTCGGCAACTTCTCGACTGGCTTGCCAACCTCAGCTTGCCTCCTAGGCAAATTCTCAACTCAGTTGCTAACCTCGGCCTGCCTGGTCAGTGGGCAACTTCGCAACAGGGTTGCCAACCTCAGCCTGGCTAGGCAACTTCTCGACAGCGAAGCCGAGACGTTGCCGAGTAGGCAGGCTGAGGTTGACGACCCTTTCGGACAAAGTTGCTTTGTGTGAATTTTGTCTGTGGTAGCACTGTTCCGATTGCACCTCACAACAGCACACGATCAATTGTCTTCTAGCCTTGCAAGTTCAAGTTCAGAACCCCATTTCGTGGCGGGTTGCCTATGCTCAGTTGGTTGGGCGCTCTGAGCGGCCCGGCCAGAAAACTGGTAGAAGCGGCCAAAACTCTAGACGCGTTTTGAGCTCCAATGTCGGGACTCAAACCGAACGTAAAGACCCCACCAAGGATTGTTCTCTGAACGAGGAATGGATTGGTGGGGTCACACCACACGTTCTGTTCGAGTCCTCTTTAGCGACTCGAAGCTCAAACCGCGTCTGGAGTTTCGCCCTCCCCCACCGGTCATCTGGCCCACTGATCGGCACCCCGTGGATGTTCATTATTGTTCCCGGCATCGCATTAACGCGCGCTAATCTGATGCAGGACTGACCTCGACAAGAACATCTTCGACTTCGACCTGCTGCTGCCGTACCTGCACTTCATCGGCAACTACAAGATCGCCATGCGGATCCTGCTGCTCAACATCCACGGCAACGGCGGGCTGACGGGCAACTTCAGTAAGGCGTCGACGACGGTGGGGGAGGCGAGGCTACACTCTAAAACTGTCTTTAAAAAAAACAGAAACGTCCCTGATTACGCAGAAAATGGCGCAAGCATAATACTGTGATTGCAGCTTTTCTCCGAGTTACGAAGTTTTTTCTTTGTACAATTCTTACAATGAAAATCCACTAAAGAAATCATAAAATGGAGAAATGTTGCCACGTATTAGGCTTTGCGCCGTAGTGACTGAAATTTGGCTCAAATTTCACAGTAAGGCAATTACGAGTGTGCTTTTGGTGAATATCTCTTAATCTGGCGTCTCTGTCACAGCCAACTACGCCTGCAAGGTGAGGATGACGGGCCACAAGATCAAGCGCGGCGGCGACGAGTACCTGGAGCTGGACCGCATGAAGCTCAAGCTCAAAGTGGGCGACGCACAGATCTCCCTGGCCAACCTCTTCGACGGCGACCCAGTGCTAGGTAATTCCAGTGACGCCGAAGTAAAAACAAAAACAAAAAAACAGCCGCACTCTTATTGATGACAAAGAGAAATGTCCACAAAGATTAACACAAGATTTACTATAATTGATTAACAGAGTGTCCACTGTTTTTTCAAAGAATGTGAGGTCCCGTTTGTTTGAATACCATATCACATCGGTTTGAAAAAGACACAAATTATATTCTAACGGATATAACGTCTATTCGTTGAAAAAATCAATGTGGCCAGCACTCGCCTGCACTCGTAAATTCGTCGTTCACTTGGGGCAGCCGACAGCGCAGCACACCTCTGTGTCTTTCTTTGGGCCCCGAGCCTCTTTAACAAGTACGAGAGAGTCCACTGTACAGGCTTGCCCGGCATACGATCATGTGTGGTCTAGCCTTTAATGGTAATGTGGTGACGGTAGGCAGGCAACCCCACTAACACGTGTGCCGTGCGTTGCAGGACCTATGGCGAACCGACTCATCAACGAAAACTCCCGCGTGTTCCTGGACGAGATCCTGCCCACGTTGGAGTCCTCGCTGGCCGACCTCTTCACGGACATCGGCAACAAGATCACACTCAAGTTCACGTACAAGGAGCTCTTCCCGTAATAGGAGCAGGTCTTTTGCCGGCTGCACATATTTTTTTTAGTCCCTTTTCTTGTTTTTTGTTTACATTGCGCCGGAAGGGACCTTAAAAAACACAAAAAAAAGAACCAAAAAGGCACCTAAATTGCCGCCACTGAGCGGGAGGTTGTTGTAAGCCAATCAGAGAGGTGGGCTGCTGTAAACGATTCATATCGTCCAAATGAGACTGATTCTCGCTGTGTGCGCCTTCCGAGCAGGCCACCCACCGTACAGCTGAGGAAACAAAAGGAGATCTGTTGTTGTGTTTTTCTTTCTCTTCTTCGCATCGCCATCGAGTGTAGTGAGTTCGCGACGCGACAAGTGTTCGCTGACATTGGAGTAAAGAAGTTGAAATAATTTGTCGTGGGAAACGACCGCCAGGCACAGGGAGGCCGCTTTTGCCGTTCATTGACTGTTACCAATAAGAGGACGGCTCCAAAAAAAGCGTCTCAGTGCATACTTTGTAAATAAAGTTGAATTCGTTGATTCTTATCTCCTTGCACTGTGCGTTGCTCGGCGCCTGAATGTAGGCTGCCCAACCTACTCCCAGCAGCACGGCTGGAGCGGTCGACACCCCCTCCCCCATCTCTCTACCCACCGAGGCGTCGAATGGGCTGCCTACCCGAACGGCGCAGCTGGCTGTTCGTCGCTCGGTCTCTCTCGCACCCATGGGGAGTTTCACAGAAGTGCGAGAGAGACAGACGATCATTCCTCTGTGACACGGAGCCTCGCGAGCCAATTTAAAACGCGGCGCTCGGGACGATGTCTCTCGCGGCCGTAATAATATGCTAGGTAATACGTGCACCAAAACAATTAAGCATCAGGGATGTAACGACGTCGAGCTGAGGCCGTGGTTTCGCCAGACATTCTCACCCGCATTACGATCTGACGTCTTCGACACGGGAGAGTGCGCGTCGTGCGGACCCTCGCCTCCGGGACTGCAGACACCAGCTGCAGCCTCCAGAACTTCAAGGCTCCAGACACCAGGACACCACACTCCAGGATCAAGTGCTCCAGCTCCAGGATCAAGTGCTCCAGCAAATCCAGACTCCTGGCTCCAGGACTCCAAGGCTTCGAGATTCCAGGACTGCAAATTCTAGACTGCAGGAACCCAAGACTCCACGATTGCAAGACACCAGGACTTCAAATTCCAGGCTCCAGGATTTACAGGACCTCAGACTTCAGAATTCCAGAATCCAGGATCCAGGACTCCAAGGACTTTAGACTCCAGGACTGCAGACTACAGACTACAGAATACAGACTGTTGTAGGATGCCAGAACTTCAGACGGCAGGACTGCAGGACGCCAGATCGCAGAACTCCAGGATTTCAGGCTTCAGGCTCCAGGACTCCACGGCGCGAGGTCATTCTCTGCGTTGGATGCACAGATGTTCTCACCCGCGCACGGCAACATGTAAAACCAGGGGGTGGCAACAGCCTAGTGCGCGCGTGAAGCGATGCGCGCCGCTCGGGCCGGCAAGGAGCGGCCGGGCGGCTGGGCCGCGCGGCCGAACCAAATTAAACAGAACTTTGTCAAAACTGCATCGAACTGAGTAAACGAGGTCATTTTTAGATTCTACGCAAAATTTCCTATCCGTGAGTGACAATGGAATGGACTTTTGGATATGTAAAACAGTTCTAAAATCAATTTGAAAACCAAATTTACGGCACCAGACAGCCGACTTGAAGTTTCCCTTTCACTAAAAAAGCTATTTCCGCTCGTTTTAGGTCCATACATACAACGAGCCGATTGTTGGCCACTATTTTCCGGGTTGCTTGGTACACTTGGAACGCCAATACGACTTCTGTAGCAGAAATGCCGATCCAAAAACTAATTTCCATTTTTGGTCCAAAATTGTATTTTGCAACTTTGGAGGTTAAAAGCACAGTTTGAAATAGGTTTCTCAGCATTGTCAACCTCACCAAGCAACCCAGAATTCAATTCTCTATCGCCCTGCTGTGTTGGATTTGCAAAAGGAGGTCAAACTTCTAATTGAAACGAAAAGGCCCGAAGCGCTGCAAAACCGCCAAAACAGTTCAAGTATTTTGTGGAGCTTAATGTGTGAAAACTATTTCTCAGGTTGTAAATCCAACCACACCACCTTGTAGGCCACTCAATTCTACAGCTCCATTGTAAGTTTCATCGCAATCGGAGACCAAGAGTGAAGGCGGCAGAATATATTTTAAAGTTAGCTGCAAAAATCTGCCGCAGCGATTTCTCATACTTGCGCTCGCTCGACCAATCAACCAAACTGATGGGATTTACAATTATTATAGCTGTCTTAACTCTTGGTCTCCGATTGCGATGAAACTTACAATGGAGCTGTAGAATTGAGTGGCCTACAAGGTGGTGTGGTTGGATTTACAATCTGAGAAATAGTTTTCACACATTAAGCTCCACAAAATACTTGAACTGTTTTGGCGGTTTTGCAGCGCTTCGGGCCTTTTCGTTTCAATTAGAAGTTTGACCTCCTTTTGCAAATCCAACACAGCAGGGCGATAGAGAATTGAATTCTGGGTTGCTTGGTGAGGTTGACAATGCTGAGAAACCTATTTCAAACTGTGCTTTTAACCTCCAAAGTTGCAAAATACAATTTTGGACCAAAAATGGAAATTAGTTTTTGGATCGGCATTTCTGCTACAGAAGTCGTATTGGCGTTCCAAGTGTACCAAGCAACCCGGAAAATAGTGGCCAACAATCGGCTCGCTGTATGTATGGACCTAAAACGAGCGGAAATAGCTTTTTTAGTGAAAGGGAAACTTCAAGTCGGCTGTCTGGTGCCGTAAATTTGGTTTTCAAATTGATTTTAGAACTGTTTTACATATCCAAAAGTCCATTCCATTGTCACTCACGGATAGGAAATTTTGCGTAGAATCTAAAAATGACCTCGTTTACTCAGTTCGATGCAGTTTTGACAAAGTTCTGTTTAATTTGGTTCGGCCGCGCGGCCCAGCCGCCCGGCCGCTCCTTGCCGGCCCGAGCGGCGCGCATCGCTTCACGCGCGCACTAGGCTGTTGCCACCCCCTGGTAAAACACCGCAGGCGCGGTGCGTAGGGTGAAGGCGAAAGCACGCGCTCGGCACCGAATTAGAGATGCATGAATGCCGCCGAAGGCGAGGCGAGCAGCATCATCGAATACGATTAATCGGAATCGAAGAGACTTTCCTCGCCGTCTCTATCGCGCGTTCTCACGGGAAGAACTCTCTTTTCGGCGTAAAAGTGCTCTGGCTGGCAAACACTTGTTTTTGCATGTAAATACGCAAAGCTTCGAAAATTCAGAGACCTTGACACATCTAAACATACACGGGATTTCTACGCACAATGCGAGCTCTCAGGTCCGAGGGGTGAATCACTAGTGTACTCATGTGTACAAATTTGCCCGTACTCAGTGTACTCACAAGGTTAAAAAGGACGAAATTCACTAGTTTTTCGGCCAGTTTGGCGTCGAGTGTCGTTTAAAACGCTAAACTAAGCCTTAAATTGTTTACAAATGTAAAATTTATGAGTAAAGGAAGGTGTACTCACGCGTACTCATGTGTACACCAGAACGCTGAGTGATTCACCCCTCGCTCAGGTCACGAAAGAGAGTAGGGGACGTCGGTCGATAATAGGTCACGTTGTGCATGGAAAGCCCCCGAGGGCGAAGAATCTATTCCACCGCACAATGACATGCAGTCGAGCATTGTCCTAGGTGCGTGTCTCATGTCACGTGCTGCAGGATATGCAGGCGGACGGATGCAGCCGCGGGGTAATTCAGCTTCAGCAGCCAGTAAACAACAACAACAACAGAGACACAATAAGCAACAATAAAAGCAGGAGCAAAGATCCGCCGCCTATCGACGACGCTCGATCAGCTGGAAGCCAGTCAAGGCCTCGCCGGGGACCTTCCTGACCAGGGGCACGCCGCGGCGCGCCGGTGGCTGCGGCCGGCGGCCGAGGCAGAAGACTCGGGAGGGGGAAGGACTTTCTTCGCCGTGATCGGCGCGGCGGCGCGGGGCGGGGTGAGGCGGGGATCCTTGCATCACGACGGCGACATTCTGCCGCTGCGTAGCTGTCTATATTCACGCCTCACGCCGGGCCGGCGGCGTGGCTGACAGACTCAAGGTCACCGAGGCCGTCGCGCAGGCCGTCGCGCTAGACGAGATTCCCCGTTCGGGCGGAGGAGGCTCTCCGCGCGCTGCCATGGCGCTGACCCCACCGACGCCCACCCTACCGACGCACAGTGGGCCAGAAGACCGGTGGAGGCGGTCGAAGCCCCGGACGCGTTTTGAGCTCCGTAGTCGCTTGGCAGGGACTCGAACCGAACGTGTGACCCCACCAATGGATTGCTCTCCGAACGAGGAATCCATTGGTGGGGTCACACGTTCGGTTTGAGTCCCATCAGTGACTCTAGAGCTCAAACGGCGTTTAGAGTTTTGGCCGCCGGCGCCGATATTCTGGCCCACTGTGCGTCGCCGACCCCACCTCAGAATTTGATTCCCGGTTCCTGGCAACCACGCGGCGACGCGATGGGTTGAGGCCAAGAGCGGCACGCTTCGGAGAGTCTCTCGGTGATGCGTATTATTTCACACAGAAAGAGAGACAGCCGAAAAAAACTGCGAAGGACGGTGCGAAAGTGAGTTGCGCCACTGGGAGACATTATTGGTTGGATTCAATGGAGTGTGTATTCTCACGTAGACAGAGGTATACTAGGGGTACGCGCCGTTTAGTTTGGGCGCGTAGTAGGCGAGCGATGCGTCTGAACACATTCTTATAGGAGATGGCGAAGAATATGTGCACAGTAAGGCCAATACAGTGTCTTCCGTCACGAAAGGGCCGGAATTCATGTCATTTTCGTGATTATCTTACTGAAAACTGCAGGAAACAATGGGAAACTCAACTTTGAAATTTTGGTCACAAATTGGTAAATTTTGGGAAAAGTAAAGGTCTGGGATGAAATTGGAAGTCATTTTCGTGATCAGCACACCAAAAACTGCAGGAAACTATGTAAAACTCGACTCAAAAATTTTGGTCCAAAATTGGTAAATATTTGGAAAAGTAAAGGTCTGAGATGAAATTGGAAGTCATTTTCGTGATCAGCACACCAAAAACTGCAGGAAACTATGTAAAACTCGACTCAAAAATTTTGGTCCAAAATTGGTAAATATTTGGAAAAGTAAAGGTCTGAGATGAAATTGGAAGTCATTTTCGTGATCAGCACACCAAAAACTGCAGGAAACTATGTATAACTCGACTCAAAAATTTTGGTCCGAAATTGGTAAATATTTGGAAAAGTAAAGGTCTGGGATGAAATTGGAAGTCATTTTCGTGATCAGCACACCAAAAACTGCAGGAAACTATGTAAAACTCGACTCAAAAATTTTGGTCCAAAATTGGTAAATATTTGGAAAAGTAAAGGTCTGAGATGAAATTGGAAGTCATTTTCGCAATTTCTAAGTGTGTTTCCTGTTCATTGTGTCGTAACATCAACCCTGACACTGTTACTCAGTCGAGTAACATTTAACAGCCAGCATTGAATTACTTAATACGATTCACAAATGCTTCAATTACCATTCGATATCTCCTTGTTATTGAACTTATGAATACACAATGTTATAAGTAATACCTAAAACGCCTTTTATCTCCCTTTTATTTTAAACTAGTGGATAAAACTACATTGATTTATCTCAATTAATTAAAAAGAGACACATTTACAGGCAGGCTGATTGCAACTACTTTACGGAGAAGACCTTCTGTCAGATCCAATGAATCGTTCCATTTGATTCAATGTCGAGCCCACTTATTGCTAAACGCAAGTTAATCTTATTCATAAAGATAGTCATGATGTGATATTTAATCTTTAAAACAGTATAGCATAAGTATTTACCTAACATTCTGAATAAATTAAAAAGACAGCCAACTCAAACCATGACTGACACAAATTACCAGTTGTCGCAGACAATGTATGGTGAATTTAAAAGAATCGTCTCATGAAATCATATGACCAAGTCACTGAATCGTCTCATTGAATCAGATGTCAAAGTCAAACCATGTATGCGCTACTCTCACTCACCATATAGTTATCTTTAAGGTTAGTACTATAGTAAACTTACAGCACTGCTATGAAGCCTTTCCCCAGAGTCAGTGCCAAGAGTCAGCAAAGACTATTTATTTTGGCAAGATTAGTGTCTGGTTTGTACTTTTAGATTGCATTGATCTATTTTCTAACTGTTATTGAGCAAAGCAAACAACTAAAAAGTATAATGTCTGAGAATAAAAATGGAAAGACACTCTCAAAACTTAAAAAGACCAAATCATTCTTGCAATTATCAAACGATCAAACACACTCCACTGACTAAAACATTTCCCCTGTGGCGGGGGAGGGACGGACGGACGAAACGCGTAATAATTGTCACTTTCATTTTCCGTATTTCACTGTGTTGACACTCCGGAGGGGTTTCAATCATTCTAGAATATCGAAAAACTAAGACCGAACTCACTTCTAAGCCCTTCTCCTCTCTATTTTGTTTTATTTGCCAATGTTTTGCCAGTCCCGTATTTGAGAGCCGCGGCCGCAAGTATGAAAAATTGCTATATATGCTGCCAACCTAACCACGCTAAGAACCTAATTCAAAAGGATGTTTTGAATATTTCAAACGGTAGTAATCGTGAATATAAGATAAACTCCCCCTGTGGGACCTTTAGGGGATGTTCGGTGCAAAATTTGGTAACTATTAGTGTTGTAGTTGCTGAGAAACGTGAGCGTGTACGCTACAGACAGACAGACAGACGCACGACCAGTCACTTTTTGGAGCGCCCAAACACGGCAAGGGCTCGCTATCGCTCGCCAATTAGTGCTTCAGTGGGTAACAGACTGGCGTTGCTGGGACTCTGGGGCTCAAAACGCGTCCAGAATTTTGGCCGTCTTCACACTGAAAAACCAAAACGTAGCCTAGACTGCACCAACTGATGCAGTCAAATGGGTGCCGTTTTGGCTGCATCAGTTAGTGTGGTCGAGACCACGTTTGGTGTGGTCATTTCATGGGAAGACCACAGCGAACGTGATATAGACCACACCGACTGACGCAACCAAATGGCATCTCCACACCAGTGGTGTTGTATAGACCACCTTTGGTTTTTCAGTGCACCACCGGTCTTCTGGCACACAATGCCTCGAGGGGTGCGTCACTTCGTCCAGTCAGTGTACACCTCTGACTCCAGTCACTGCCTTGTCTCAGCCCAGTCACTTAAAAAGCCGCCACAAAATCGTAAATTTGCTCCATTTGCGCCATTTTTGAAACGCATTTCGTAAGATTTACATTCTAATCAAAAGTAGTGAATTCAGTCCAGTCACCAGTTAGTGTACACCGATTTTCTGAGTGAGGTACCCCTCGCAATGCCTCCCCAAGTCGGCAGGCGTCTTGCGACGTGGAGTAGCGACGCGGGGGCATCCCTACCCTAGAGTCCTAGAGGCGCAGGGTAGCGCCCGGCGTGGCGGAGGTTGAACCTCTCCGCGGCGGTGGCGGCGGGCGTCGCGACGGCCCCTGTCCCCGCCCCTCGGCCGCCAGGTTCCCGCCAGGCGGACTCGCCGGGGTGGGGGCAGCAACACTGTGGCTGCGCTGCGCGGCGCTGCGTCCGTGCAGCCCGTGCAGGCAGGCTGCGCCGCGGCGGGCCGGCCGGGCCTGGACAGAGCAGTGGCGGCGCGGCGGAGTCACTTGGCCGTCGCTCGCGCCGCACGTCACAGCGGATACGGGAAGCAGTGCCGCACCGGCCGCGTCGCGGCGCCCTCACAGTGCTCGTCGATCAGACCGCGGGTTCGAATCCCCGTCGCGGTGGTTTCGCAGTGCACCGTCATGGCGAAGGCGGCCCTGTGCGCGATGGTGCTGCTGCTGGCGGCAGTGCAGTGCCAGCGCGGCCCGTACCGCCCGTCCATCCTGGAGGCCTCCCTCCGGTCCATCTGGGAGATCACCCGCATGGGGCGCACCGAGCCCCGCGACACGCGCGACGTGCTCCCCGAGTACGACTTCATCATCGTGGGCGCGGGCACGGCGGGCTGCGCGCTCGCCAACCGCCTCAGCTCCGTGGAGGGCTGGAAGGTGCTGCTCATCGAGGCGGGCCGCGAGGAGAACTACATGATGGACATCCCCATCGTGGCCAACATGCTGCAGTTCAGCGAGGCCAACTGGAAGTACCGCACCGTGCCCTCCGACACGGCCTGCCTGGGCATGGCCAACCGCCAGTGCAACTACCCCAGGGGCAAGGTGAGAGCGTCAAGTGTTTGTGTGTGTGTGTTTGTGTGCGTGTCTGTGTGCGCACGCGCGCGTCGGTGTAGTGCACGTTATGTCGGTGACCTTATGCCTGAGTGAACATTATTTACCCTACACTTGAGGGGCCCGGCGTGCTTTACCCTCCTAGCCCGACCCCAGCCCCTGCAGGCGGATCATCCGAACAGCGTTTCGTCGCTCTGTCCCTCTCGCGCTTAAACGGGTCGCCCCGCGAGTGCGAGAGAGACGAAGCGGCGAAAGTACTGTTCGGAATCAGTGGCCCCGGCGACAGCAAGGCGCCCGGCCTCCTCGGAGGCCGTCCACCAGACGGATTCAGAGAGTCGTTTAGGTCGCTCTGTCTCTCTCTCTCGCACTCATGGGGCGTCCCGCATAGGTGCGAGACAGCTAGAGCGAAGGTAACGACACTCTGAATCAGTCCACTGACACGCCGGCCTACAGTGGCGGGTCCACAAGCCGGCGGGAGGGGCAAGGTAGTACTTTTGGCTTACTTACAGGGGAAAAGTATGTCCCTTCAGGCGGCTACCTAGGGGCCACGATGGTCAATTCCTCCCTCCCCCCCCCACTCCTACTGGATCCGCTCCTGGCCTAGACACCGAAGCAGCACGCCGGGCCGCCCACGTGACTGACCGGCAAAGCGATTGCCAGGCGTGCTAACTTTGACACCCTTTCAAAAGCGGCGGCCGTTTTGGCGGGAAACGAGCTCGGTTCGGAGAGTGTGTCGCGGCGCTGAGGCGTGCACGTCCAGGCCATTCATGCGGACGGCAGCGGCTTGCCTTTCACACTCGGGTGTGAACACTCATCTCGTTATGGGGCAAACAGCTTGCGGTGGAGTAGCGTCCGCAACGCCAGACGGATCCCGAGAGTCGTTTTCGTCGCTCTGTCTCTGTCGCACCTACGCGGGGCGCGCCACGAGTGCGAGAGAGATAGAGCGACAGTCTGCAGCACACCGTGTAATGTGTGGTCAGGGTAACGAGGTGTGTGCCTCGGTGCGGCACCAAGGGGGTGGACGCGGGTAAACTGTTCAGTGCACTGTACACTCGCGGTCTTCGAATGACTCCCACCGACCTAGGCGAGCACTCGTGTGCACTCGAGTGCACCGTGCCGTCCTGCAGTGCACGTACACTGTGAAAATTTGGTTTGTCACTTGATGACAATTTCAAGGCTAATGTTCCATACGTACAAGAATGTCATTCAAACCAGTAGGTTACCTACCTCGCCTTCGCCTAGACAGTGAGTAGAGGACCTTTGAAGAAATTGTTGTCAATTTGTTATCCTATTTGCATCCTTTTTAAGAGTGATAAAAATGTAATCAATCCACAATGTTTTCATCAAGCTGTGCCAACAAATTTTTACAGTGTAGACGGTCGCGAGGCGCGAGAGGGCCACGCGGTGTCGGCTTGGCTGCATCATCGGCCGGGTCGCAGTGGGCCAGACCCGAGGGGCCCCCCCTTTTCCGGTCGGGGCCCAAAACCCCAGGCGTGTGCCCACCAATGGTTCCCTTGTTCGGAGAAACCATTGGTGGGGGCATTATTTGGTTCGGCCTTTTAGCGACGCCTGGAGCTCAACCGGTCTAGGTTTTGCCTACCTTTCCCGGCCAGTGGGTCGGGCACCAGTGGGCCCATTTGGAGCGACAAAATGGCTGCTCCCGTGTTCCGGCTCCACAGGTTTAGCCCGGTCATTAATCTCGAACCGAACGTTTTTGCCGCCGCCAATGGACTGCTCCCGAACCCAGGAATCCATTTAGGCCACGTTTCCGGCAACGACTGCGCTTAGTGGGACTGGAGCTCAAAACCCGGGGGGCTAAAATTCTAGGCCGCCTTTTGGCCCCGGTCAGACTGGACCAAATGTGGGCTGCCACCTGATTTTCCCAAAGGATCGATTTAGGGCCCCCTTTGAGTCCCCTCTCGCACTCGAAAGCCTAAAGGTGGCCGCCTTTAGGCTTCAAGCCCCAATGGGCCCCTGATTGAAGGCGTCCTGTCTCCTCCCGGGCCGGTGTGGCAGGTGACGGGGTCCTGGGCGACGGGGGTGGAGAACGCCCGGCCGCCCTGCCCACAGTGGGCCAGAAGACCGGTGGAGGCGGCCAAAACTCGAGACGCGTTTTGAGCTCCAGAGTCGCTAAACGGGACTCGAACCGAACGTGTGACCCGACCAATGGATTGCTCTCCGAACGAGCACGGTAAAAGCGGTTCCTGGTTTTCCCAGGAACTCCCTGGAAATCGCCTATGTCTCTACCATAGGGTTCCTGGGAAAACCAGGTACCGTTTTTACCGTGAGGAATCGATTGGTGGAGTCACACGAGTCCTGTTTAGCGACTCTGGAGTTCAAAACGCGTCTCGAGTTTTGGCCCACTCCACAGGTCTTCTGGCCCACTGTGCTGCCCCGCCTCCCAAAGCCGGCCTGGCAGCCCGGCAGCCAGCTCACTGCACGCCGGGATGCACTCCGCCACTTCCTTCACTGCAGGCCGACTCCGACCACTGCTTATCTTGACGATGTCTCTTTCGCTGCCTCACTCAGGCAGGGTGATGATAGCAGTGTTCGGAATCAGGCTGCTGTTAAAACTGAAGCGTACGTTTACGCATTTCTTCAAGCGGATTCTCCACCGCCTATTTAAATGCATGGAAGAATTTCACGAAACTTCATTCAAGCAGCTTCAATTTTACCAGTGTCGGTGCCGGCCTGAAAACGGCTGCCCGAGTGTGCGCGGCAGAGACACTCTCAGCTCGAACGCCATCAGGATCTGACTCCGCTGGTAAAACTAAAGCGTAACTCTTTGCTTGAGTCAAGCATAAAGTTACGCTTCAAGGCGTTACGCTTGAAATGAAGCATATTCCGGAAATTCCACCATGCATTTAGATAGAGGGAATCTTGGCCGATGAGCCTGTTACGCTTGATTTCAAGCGTGACTACGCTTGAAAACAGAAGGCAATACTACGCTTTAGTTTTACCAGAGTCCACTGCAAACTGAGCGAACCACCCTCGCGCCGCTACCCGCTCCGCTTCCCGCGCCCGCCGAGCCCGGGCCTTCGGCTCGACTGTTTCGTCGCTCTGTCTCTCTCGCACCTGTACGGGACGCCCCATGAGTGCGAGAGAGACAGAGCGACGAAAACGACTCTCGGAATGAGTCTACTGCTCTGCCGCGGCTGTCGCGACGCGGATGGCACGTGCCCGTCGGACACGTGAGCCACGCCACACAGTACCGGCAGCCTCATGAAAGGATGGTTCCGAGCAATGTCATCCTCTGTCTTTGTCGCACTGGTGGGGTGTCTCGCAGTGGTGCGAGAGAGACTGAGCGACGAAGCGCCGTCCGGACGGAGCCTGCAGCCTCGCGACAAAGCCCAGGGGGCCGACCGCCATTGGCGCCATTCACGAAATAGCGGCACGTCACTGTGGGTTGCGATAGGCCGCGAAGCCGCGAAGCCGCGAAGCATGGCACCTGAAATCGCGGCGTGGCAGGGCGTGGCGTGTGCCGTGTAAGGCCGGGAAAGGCCACCGCGCCGCCGAGTGCAAGATTTAGCCCTTTTGCACGAGAACGAGGGCAGGGCCAAAAGGCCCAAGTGCTCACAGGCCTAAGGGCCAAAAGACCCAAGTGCCCAAAGGCCAAAGGGCCAAAAGGCCTAAGGGCCGAAAGTCCTAAGGGCCGAAAGTCCTAAGGGCCAAAAGGGCTAAGGGCCAAAGTTCCCAAAGGCCTGAGGGCCAAAAGGCCTAAGGGCCAAAAGGCCCAAGGGCCAAAAGGCCTAAGGGCCGAAAGGCCTAAGGGCCGAAAGGCCTAAGGGCCAAAAGGGCTAAGGGCCAAAAGGCCTAAGGGCCAAAAGGCCTAAGGGCCAAAAGGCCTAAGGGCCGAAAGGCCTAAGGGCCAAAAGGCCTAAGGGCCAAAAGGCCTAAGGGCCAAAAGGCCTAAGGGCCAAAGTTCCCAAAGGCCTGAGGGCCCAAAAAGGGCCAAAGGGGCCCAAAAAGGGCCCCAAGGGCCAAGGAAAAAAGGGCCAAAGTGCCCAAAGGCCTAAAGGGCCAAAAGGCCTAAGGGCCAAAAGGGCCTGAGACCTCAGTGCAGCTGAGCAAAATGGTGGCATGCGCAGAATCCGCACATTGAAGATCTCATTCGCCTTTTGGTGGCCGTACTGAATCAAGACCAGCACTTAGTGCACGCCACTGGAGGATGCTCTCATTTTCCCGCAGGGTGTGTATGTGTGCCACAACGTGCATGCCGCGCCGCCGCTCCGCCGCGGTGTCGCCATCGGCCCGTTCCGGAATGGGTCATTTCGGCGCGCGCCGGAGCGACCAATATTAGGTGGCGCCGCGCCACCACTGCAGTGCGTCGCAGCAGACTGATTCCGAGAGCCGTTTTCATCTCGCTGTGTTTCTCTCACACCCCTCTAAGGGACGCCCCATGAGTGCGGGAGAGACAGAGCGACGAAAACGGCGCTCGGAATCAGTCTGCTGTGCATCGCAGCGCCACGGGGACGACACTTTATGGTTTCCATATAATTAAGGCTGTAAACGAAGAGGAGCGGAAGGCTCCGCGGCGTTACGTGTACGAGAGGACCGCGCTGCGTGAGTGTGTGTGCTTGCGTGCGTCGGTGTGGGTGCGTGCGTGTGTTTGTTTTTTGTATGTGTGTGCGTGTGTGAGTGTGTGTGTGAGACGCCCACCGCCGATTATCTGTGCTATTTCTGACGCACACTTAGTTGCACGTATGCATTGCTGCGGTCCTCGACGCGTGCGGCCCGCATCACCGCACCGCGTGCGTCAGGGCGCGGCGGCGGCGGCGGCGTACAGTGGGCCAGAGGACCGGCGCTGGCGGCAAAAACTCTAGACGCGTTTTGAGCTGCAGAGTCGCTAAACAGGACTCGAATCGAACGTGTGACCCCACCAAAGGACTGCTCTCCGCACGAGGAATCCATTGATGGGGTCACACGTTCGATTCGAGTCCTATTTATCGACTCTGGAGTTCAAAACGCGTCCGGGATTTAGGCCGCCTCCACCGGTCTTCTGGCGGCCCACTTGTGCGTGGCGGTGGCGGTGGTCCGCCAAGCAGGCGGTGCAAGCAAGCTGTCAAAACTTTCAAGCTCTGCTGTTCTCAAATGGCGCTCGATTCAAACAGTGGTGTAAGAAATGAAGCTTACTTTTACGCCAAGCGTAGTGGCAGTTTGTTGCTGCTCTTGCCCTCCAGCGTAGTTCCCAGTTCCACCCCTCTCCCGCCAATCTCAGTGCAAATGAGAATTTCTTCTTGACACTGCAAGTCAAGCGTAAAGTCTTCAAGGGTGGTTGCAAGCCTGAATGAAGCGTCGTAGTGAACACATGACTGAACCAGAGGATTGTCTTACGAGCTGGAAATCCATGGATACATAGGTTCAGATGCCAGTCCTCTTTGGCGACCGCAGCACTGAAAATGTTTACAGTGTCGTGCGTGCCTCGACTGGTCTTCAGGCCCACTCCACTGTGGTCTCCAAAGCCCCGCGTGCATGCAGCCTCGAAAACCCACATTCGCCCAAACGCGGCCCGGACCACTGCTCTGGAAGTTCCCTGCGACGGCTGCTCTAGGCCGACAGTCCGCCGGACTCGCTGTCCACCGAGGAGACCCTCTCCTCGACCTTGAACTCGCCGCGTCCCGTTTTGGCGCCGCGCCGCGTGGTGGGACCGGGCCAGGCGGGGCGGGGCGGGGTGGGACAGAGATCAGCTGACGGAGGTCGCGAAGCCTTGCAGTGCGCCAGCCAGGCATCCTCGCGGGAACTCCATTTTTCTCGGAATGGCCGTGTCGCGTCGTCTCCTTCTCTTTTACTACGACAGCCGGTGGAGGCGGGGCGCGGCGGGGACGCGACGCCGCCGGTCTGCAAGGCGCTGCGCTCTTTCGCCGCACTCGCGCGTTCAGGTCGCCAGCCCGTGAGGCAACGGCGCGGCAGCCCGCGACTTAGACAAAGATCCGAGTTTACGAGTTCGCTGTAGGGCCCCTGACGGACGGCGGGTGGGCCTGCCCGTTGAACTTTGATGCACGGCGGGGAAGTGCCATGGCCCCTGACGAACGGAGGCTGGGCCTGCCCGTCGAACTTGCGTGCACGGCGGGAGTGCCATCCGCCAGGCGCCATGGCCCCTGACCAAAGGCTGCCCCCATGAATTCGTACGGCGGATCTACCCGGGCCAGGCGCCATGGCCCCTGACGAACGGAGGCTGCGCCTGCCCGTCGGACTTGGGTGCACGGCGGGAGTGCCAATCCACCAGTCGCTATGTTGCCTTCCATGGGGTGCTGTGCTCGGTGCACGGTCCCCCCAGACGATGTTCCGCGGGGTCGTCTTCGTCGCGCTCCCTGTCTCTCCCCTTTCACCCATAAGAGCGCCCCATGAGTGTGAGAGAGACAGAGCGACGTAAACGACTCTCGGAATCAGTCCGCCGCCCCGAAATCCCCTGACCGGCGCCCCGGTGCCCCGGCCACGTCGCCGCGTCCGCGAATTCGCCCTCCTTCTGCCTTTCCTTTTCCCTTTCACACCGCCCCTTATACAGCGCTTGACCTATCGCCGACCTTGCCCGCCGACCGCAGGCCGCGCGCCTCTTGGCGCTTCTCCGCGGTAATGGTCACTGCACTGCAGCCAAGCGCGCGGCCGGTCGCTCTGTCTCTCTCGCACTCGCGGGGCGTCCCGTAAGGGTGCGAGAGAGACAGAGAGCGCCGTTCGGAACCGGCCAGCAGGCGTCGTCACCGTGCCGCAAGAGCCCCCGTCATAGTCATAACGCGGACCGCTGTCTCTGGGATGAAGTGCAAAGCGGACAGCCAAAGCGCGGCGGCTCGGTGAAGCGCCACTTTCGATTGATGGTCAGACAGGTATCGTCGCTCTATCTCTGTCGCACTCACGGCGCGTCTCGCTGGGTGCGAGAGAGACAGACTGGCCGCACACCGCCTTGCTAGCGCCGCCACAAGGCCGGTGTGGCTCGTGGAGTCTCAGGCTTTGTCGACCCGCAGTACACCGATTCTGAGGGTCGCTTTCGTCGCTCTGTCTCTCTCGCACCCGTACGGGACGCCCCGCGAGTGCGAGAGAGACAGAAGACGACTCTCGGAAGCAGTGTGCAGGCCGCGCCGCGGGTATTGTCTCCGACTCCGTCTCCCTCGGGGGGCTCCTCGGAGGCCGACTCGACACTGCAGACGGATTCCGAGAGTCGTCCTCGTCGCTCTGTCTCTCTCGCACCTATATGGGACGCCCCATGAGTGCGAGAGAGACAGCGACGAAAACGACTCTCGGAATCAGTCTGCTGGAATGAGCGTGCCGCACGTCGCCGCACGCGCCGTCACGCCGATTGTGTTCTTGCAGGTGATGGGCGGCTCGAGCGTGCTCAACTACATGATCTACAACCGCGGCCACTACCGCGACTACGACCAGTGGGAGTTGATGGGCAACCCGGGCTGGGGCTACCGCGACGTCCTCAAGTACTTCCTCCGCCTGGAAGACATGACCATCCCGGACCTGGCCCGCGACAAGGTGTACCACAACGTGGGCGGCCCCGTGGCCGTCTCCTACATCCCCTGGCACACGCCGCTCGCCGCCGCCTTCCTGGAGGCCGGCATGCTCAAGGGGGGCTGGCCCGTGGACTACAACGGCCCCACCCAGGCGGGCTACTCGTACCTGCAGGTGAGTGAGGCGTTGCGCGCCAGGAAAAAGAAAAAGGAAAAAAAAAGAGTCCAACGGGGACGCTAATGTGTTCGACCGGCCTGTCAAACGCGGCCAGCGGCTGAGTGTGCCACTGGCATTAATGCCCGGCACGAGCCTAAATGTTGCACTACACTTTGGGGGAAAATGCAGTGGGTGCAGTAGATGCAGCAGGTATACGTAATCGCCTTCCTCTTGCAATGTTTGTCAATGATTTAGGGAGTCAATGTTGAATGTGAGTTACCGCTGTTCACACTAAATGTTTATGTACTTTCATAGCCCACAAACATTTCTATAATTGTGCGTGTCAGTTATGTACATAATGAGAGGCAATGATTCTGTATTGTGACCCGTGTAAAAACGAATTGTTCCGAAATCTTGCCGCCAGCCGTCCGAAAGAGCCCCCGCCACCTCGGGCTGTCCCCAGAAGCGTCCGATTGCCCTCGGACGATTCCGTGGTTAGCCCGCGAAGGGGCCGCTGTTCGGACGGGCCAGACCGATATGTGTCCGGGACTCCCTGGAAAGTCCGGGTCGGTCCGCCGGGAGTCCGGGGCAGCGGACTTACCCGGAATACGTCCGAGGAAAGTCTCCCCTCCGGACTGTTTTCGGAACTCTGTACCGTTTCCCCCTCGCTTTGGGACTTAGACAATTGTTCCTTTAGCGGAGCTACAGTTGAGGTGTGTCGAAGTGATTCCACAATGTTCAATCTCAAACATTCGCCTTTCGTAAGGAAATTTAGAATTAAAAAATTATTGGAAATACAGCAATTTTTTGTCGTTGCTGAGTATGTGCCGAAACAAATACCACAAAACGTGGTTTAAATTGCAAGAATGCATTCAGTCAATTAATTTAAATTGTTTCGTACAACCGGAGAAACATGAAACTTTAAATACAGGTATGCATAAGAAAACGTGTTGGACGTAAAATATTTTAAGTTCAAGGTCCCCTTGAGAAATCCCCACTCTTCTATCTTGAAAATCGCGCCTCCCAGCGCCCAGAGGAAGGAGCGGAGCGGAGAGCGCAGCGCAGAGTCAGTGAAGAGGCTCACCGGAGCCCCCAGTCCTCATCTGTCGGGTTAGCTCAGTTGGCTCCGACGTCAGCACTGGTGTGCAAAGACAGAGAGGAAGGCGGGAAGCGAAGGTTCGAATACGGCTTGCCTCTGGCTCACCGCCGTCGGATTTTTTTCGGAACCGAGACTCGGACAGTCCGAAACCAGCCCGGATTTCGGTTCTCGGACACATCCGTAAAGTTGCCGATTTGGGAACATTCTGGAGCTTCGTCGGACTAGCCCGACGGACCTCTTTCGGGCTGGAACCCCGCTCGGACAGATCTCGGAGCAAATAATTTTTATAAGGGGATGAAGTATTTATAAAATCGTAACTAATTTACGAGAGGGTAACCACTGTAAAACTCTGTGTTGGTCTTTTTTTTTTTTTTTTGCTTGCTGTATGTGAAATGTGTTCAAATTTTGTACAATGCATGTGGGAAGTTGTTTACCCATCGTTAATTTATGAATAAAACAGTTCATAACTTACTCCTGGACAAATACGTCCTTACTTATGTGAAACAGTTTCTAAAGAATTTAGTGTGTGAACAGGGATTACAACCTGCAGGAGGTTTACAACCGGGGTAACTTGAACTACTGCTCGGCAGGTGACGATGCGCAACGGCACGCGGTGGAGCTCGAACCGCGCGTACCTGGGGCCGATCCGGGACCGGCGCACGCTGCACGTCACCAAGCAGAGCGTGGCCACGCGCATCCTCATCGACCCGGTCACCAGGGAGGCGACGGGCATCGAGTTCGTGCGCGACCGGCGGCGCCGCGTGGTGCGCGCGCGCAGGGAGGTCATCATCTCGGCCGGCGCCATCAACAGCCCCCAGCTGCTCATGCTCTCCGGCATCGGGCCGCGCGCCCACCTTCAGGTCAGTCCGGCGCGGCGCTGCGCTGGTGGCATCCGCCGCACAGTGGGCCAGTAGACCGGTGGAGGCGGTCGAAATCCCGGACGCGCTTTGAGCTCCAGAGTCGCTTACTGGGACTCGAACCGAACGTGTGACCCCACCAATGGATTACTCTCGGAACGAGGAATCCGTAGGTGGGGTCACACGTTCGGTTCGAGTCATGTTTAGCGACTCTGGAGCTCAAAACACGTCTAGAGTTTTGGCCACCTCCACCGGATTTCTGGCCCACTGTGCGACGGCGGCCACCGCCACTGCAGTCCTGCCAAAGGTGGGCCCAGCGGGTTCAAGAAGGTGAAGAAGTTGCCTACTTACCGGGGCAAACAATGGTGTTTTTGCCTACTTACCAGTCGGACTTCAGGGACGCACCTCTAGATCCGCGCCTGCCCTGCCCGTCGATCTAGCCCCGTCTCCCCTCTGCCTTGCAGGAGAAGAACATCCCCGTGGTGCAGGACCTGGCCGTCGGCTACAATCTGATGGACCACGTGTCTGCCGGCGCGGTGCTGTTCCTGGTCAACCAGTCCGTGTCGCTGCGCGCCGAGCGCATCCTGGACAGCCACGACGACTACGTGGACTACATCGCCTACCACACGGGGCCCATGTCCATCCCCGGCGGCTGCGAGTCGGTGGGCTTCATCGACCTCAAGGACCCCAACAACCCGGACGGCTGGCCCGACCTGGAGCTGCTGTTCAACTCGGGCTCCGTCATCTCGGAGCCCACGCTCAGGGACAACTTTGGCATCGACGAGGCGCTGTACCAAAAGGTGGGGCCGAGGCCAGCGAGTACCGCGTACGGTGTTTCCATGATTTTCAGCATCAGTGCGTGTTACGCTTGAAAAGAAATCCCTAAAAAAAAAAACGAAAATGTGTTGGTTGTTGAACCGCGGAACGTTGGGTTGACAGTCGACGCCTTAACCCCCTCGGCTACATCGACGCACTAACGCCCCCGCCTCTCCTGTCCCGCAGATCTTCGCGCACGTGGAGGGCCGCGACTCGTGGATGCCGCTGCCCATGCTGATGCGGCCCAAGAGCAAGGGGCGGGTGATGCTGCGCGACCGCAACCCGCTGCGCAAGCCCCTCATCTTCCACAACTACTTCCAGTACCCCGAGGACCTGGAGGTGCTGGTGGACGGCGTGCTGCGCACCATCGAGCTCAGCAACACGGAGCCGTTCCAGCGCTTCGGCTCCACGCTGCACGACACGCCCATCCCGGCCTGCAAGAGCAAGGGCTTCGGGACGCGCGCCTACTGGTCAGTGCGCCGTAACGCTCAGTGCACAGTGGGCCAGAAGATCGGTGGAGGCGGCCGAAACTCTAGACGCGTTTTGAGCTCCAGAGTCGCTAAACAGGACTCGAACCGAACGTGTGACCTTACCAATGGATTCCTCGTTCGAAGAGCAATCCATTGGTGGGGTCACACGTCCGGTTCGAGTCCCATTTAGCGACTCTGGAGCTCGAAACGCGTCCCGGATTTTGACCGCCCCCGCCGGTCTTCTGGCCCACTGGGTAGTGCCGCGACAAGTGGCTCGTTAAATACGTAGTTTTCCTTTTTTCCCCGCTTTAACAGTCCTTTTTTGTCGCAATGCCCCGTTCCCCCCAGGCGCTGCCACATCCGCCACTTCCCCTTCACCATCTACCACCAGTCCGGCACGTGCAAGATGGGCCCGCGCTCCGACCCCAACGCCGTGGTGGACTCGCGCCTACGCGTGCACGGCGTGGGCCGGCTGCGCGTCGTGGACGCCTCCATCATGCCCGCCATCCCCGCCGCGCACACCAACGCGCCCACCTACATGATCGCCGAGAAGGCCGCCGACATGATCAAGGAGGACAACGGCGTGCCCGTGTGACGCCCGTGACCAGGGTTTCGACCACGGTTTCGACCACGGTTTCGACCAAGGCGTCGACCACAGTTTCGACTAAAGTCTCGACCACGGTCATGAACAAGGCCGGGACGCGCCGAAAACAGAAACGACGCCGACCGCGGTGGAGGAACATCAGTGGCGGAGCCAGACCCGGCCTGAAGAGAGGGACAAAGAAGCACCTCTTGCCTACCAACAGGGTCAAAGTGTTGGCTTTTTGCCTACCTTTCAGGTGGCTATCTAGGAGTCAATTGGGGTCAATAGCTGTTATTTTGCCCTCCTACTGGATCCGCGCCTGAGGAACTTTGAGCAGTGCGGTTCGACGGGTGCAGTGTCGATTAGTCGATGCATCGAAGCAACAGGCTGTGAGCTGCCAGTGGACGGACAGAGCCGTGCGTGCGTGCGTGCGGAGGTCGCGGAAGGCGTTACACTGTGAAACTGTTACGTCGAAGCAAAGTAAAAATTCGGTTCATTGTTTTGTCCAGGAGAGGTATCTACTGCATTTCAACTTAGAGTCCGTCAAAAGAGGTACAGCTCATAGTTTTATTCGATTTGACTCAAGTATTTTTACAGTGTAGGCAAGCGTGCAGTTCTCAAAGAGACCACAAAAGGACCTCTGCCGTTCAGATAACTTTGTCGCACGCCCGTGTTTGGTTCCATTTCGTGGAGCTAACGGGATACCGGGTTAAAATGTTTTGTTCGTTGTTTTTTTTTCTGTCCGTTTTTGTTTTCACTTCGCTGAAGTGCTGTTGCAGCGCAGCGGGATGAAGACTGGCGCTACGTAGAGTAATTTTCTTGGCGTGAATATTTAGCTGTAAGTTGTGTTCGCCCCTCTTGCGAGCCTATCGCTAGTCAGGTCAGGCCCGACAGAAATTAATCTGAGGGCCCAGAATACTGTACTGAATATCACCTTTTACATTCTTTATGTTAGCAAGTTTTTATATGTCCCATCACATTGATTTTGCTTTCCATTTCCATGCTGTCCCTGTTTCTCATTGTCCAGTTTTCGCACGAACTTTGTTCTCTGTATGCGTGTGATTTGTATGTGTGAGCGAGTGTGTGAGTGTGTGTCGAGTTCGCCTCGGAATACTGTATAACCATAGTGAATCACCTCCAGTGCGTTGATCTTGCTCATTCTATCTTCATTGACTTTAAGTGATGCCATAGACTAAAGACATCAGCATAAATTTGCCTTGTGAATAACTACTATGTTGTAAGAGTAATTAAATAAACGCGACCATGCGAGAAAGTGAAGGTCTTTTTATAAATTTCGAGGAAAACAACAAGTGTTGCTGCCTAACAGTGGATGTATCCGTCTGTGTGCGTGCGTGTGTGTGTGGTGTGTGTGTGTGTGTGTGTGTGTGTGGCGGGGAGGGGGGAGGACGCGCGCGTGCAGAATCGCTGAGGTGAGTGTGTGTGCGGGCAGACGGCCTGACGGGCCTGACGGTCTGGGGTCGCGGCCCACCTGTAGTGTAGTGACTGGTCCTCCTTCGTGCACCCCACCTTCCTCTCGAACGCCCAGCCCGCACAGTGGGCCAGAAGACCGGCGCAGGCGGCCAAAACTCTAGGCGCGTTTTGAGCTCTAGAGACACTAAACAGGACTCGAACCGAACGTGTGACCCCACCAATGGATTCCTCGTTCGGAGAGCAATCCATTGGTCGGGTCACACGTTCGGTTCGAGTCCCATTTAACGATTCTGGAGCTCAAAACGTGTCTTGAGTTTTAGCCGCCTCCACCGGTCTTCTGGCCCACTGTAGCCCGCCGGAGTTTAGATCCGAACAGCAGATCCGCCGCACCGTCTCTCTCGCACGCCAGCGGACTACGCAACGCCCGAGGAGTGCGAGAGAGACAGAGCGGGTCGAGCCAGGTGGCGTCAGGTGGCGTCAGGCTGTAGCGGTCGCAGCACCTCGCGAAGTGCACCACAACGATCATGGTGTCGGATGTGCGAAGTCCTTTCCGGATGATGCGGGTGGGTCGAGTTCATCTTCCCGCGCGCGCCGCGCTGCAGACTACGTCGCTCTGTCTCTCTCACACCACGGCACGCCCCATGAGTGCGAGAGAGACAGAGCGACGACTCTCGGAATCAGTCTGCTGCAGCGCGGCGTCCCGTTTGGGGGTCATCCATAATGTCAGGGCTGCGCGGCTGCGGCGCGGCCCCGACGGGGCAGGCAGCCCCGGCAGGACGGACAGGCAGGGCAGGCAGCCGCACAAACACCAGCACTACACACTTGAACGCACCGCGCGTACCCGCGGGCTGATTCCGCGCAATGCCCGTGCGCCCATCTCTCTCGCACCTGGGCGGTACGCCCCATGAGTGCGAGAGAGACAGAGCGACGGCCGAGCTGGCAGAGCCACGCTAGCGGGGGTCATGACGGTCATGACAATGGCCCAGGCGGTCCAGCCAGGCGGTCCAGGCGCGCTGAAAAAGGCGGGAAACTGAGCCAGCAGTGACCTCTAGCGGCAGCTGTGGGAATGCGTAGGGACCGCCTGGGCCCGGGCGAACGCCGCGCGTGGCGGAACAGGCAAAGGAACAAGGTTTACGGCAAGGCTGCATGCTCGCTAAAAGTCTACCTGGACTTTCCGCGCTGAACGATTTCACACACACACACACACACCACACACACACACACACACACACACACACACACACACACACACACACACACATATGCACACCACAAAAGACACACACGCACATACACCGAACAACTTTGTGAGAGACAACTCAACTGCAAATTTGTGTTGGTGTATTTGTAGTGTGTGCCAAAACAAAGCCTAGCCGTGAGCTCGCGCGCCGCGCAGTGTGCTTGCCTGCAACTGCTTGCCTGGCGTGCATCGCGCATCGCGGCGGTGCATCGCTCTGCTTCCAGCTCATGACTCCATGGCGGCCGAAAAAACCTCGTTACATGACGGGAGCGTTATACGGCCGTAGAGTAGTCCGCGCGGTCCAGGACCGTCCAGGACTCCGGGCGACATGGAATGTCCGCGGGGCCGTGCCTGGACCGTGCGAGGGGATGCCGTGCCAAGACTGCGGGCTGTCTACGAACCGCGCCCTCGTCGCTCTAGCGCTGTCTCTCTCGCGCCCATGCGCGATCCTTTGCGAGAGCGAGAGAGAGCGGAGCGGGCGACGAGAGCACGCCGCTCGGAATCAGCGTGCCGTGCATCGCCAAGGTGGAAACTTTTGGGCCGCGCCACGTTCGCCTGGCTGTCCGCGGTCCCCGCCCCCTAGACTGGCTGACTGACTGACTGACTGCTGACTGACTGACCGACTCACTGACTGACCGACCAACTCACCGACTGACTGACGACTGACGGGCCGGCCGACTGAGTGGCTGGCTGGCTGGCTGGCTGACTGATTGCTGGCTGGCTGACAGACTGGCTGGCTGCTGGCTGGCCGCATCCTTGGCGATGACGCTCGCCCCGTCGTCGTGGACGTCGTCCTGGCCGCCACGCTGGCCGTGGCGTCAGCGTCGCTGTGACACGCTACGCTTGCTACGCCACGCTGTAAGCTGCAAGCCGCAAGATGGGCATCGGTGCGCCAAACATGGCCTCCGCCCGGCCGGGCCGCCCTCCGGCCGCCCCGCCCCGCCCCGCCCCGCCCCGCGCCGTTTACCGGAGCCAAAGGAACAGCCGCGTCACGGCGACCTCCCCGCCTCGTCACTCTGTCCCTCTCGCACCCCTACGCAAGGCCCTACGAGTCGTCGCTCCGTCTCTCTCGCACTCACGGGGCGCGCCGCAGGGGTGCGAGAGAGAGGGAAACCCCCGCGAGGACGCCCGCAGGAGACCCCGGCCTTTTTCCAAGGGCCGACGTGGGGGCCGCAATTTTCCGGGGCGTTTTCCAAGGAACCGCCTCGTGTAGTGCTCCCTACAGTACTGCTGCTCATTCGAGGGAGCGGGGTCATGCCGCCCTCCCCCACCCCAAGGCAACTCCTGCCGGCCCCGTGCGCGCTCTTTTTCCCAAGGTGTTCGCCTGCTCTCGCACCTGTACGGCGCCGCTGGAGTGCGAGCGGCGGAGGAACGCGGCCTGACCGGAACGAGCGCTGCCGTCGCCGCGCTCCGTGCGCGCTCATTCTTCCGAACAGGTGCCTTCGTCGCTCTGTCTCTCTCTACGGAACGCCGCTGGGGTGCGAGAGAGACGGAGGAACGCGGCACTGACCGGAACGAGCGCTGCTTCGAATGCGCCGCCGGCACCGCGCACGAGCAGTACGTCTTCGTGCTCATTGCTCGCTCGCGCAGTCACAGAGCAGCCACGGACTGATTCAGAGAATCGTCGCTCTGTCTCTCTCGCACTCGTGGGGCGCCCCGTGTAGGTGCGAGAGAGACAGTGACGAAAACGACTCTCGGAATCAGTCTGCAGAGAAGGAAGGCCGATGAATGGAACCATCGTCGCAGCACTCTTCGGTCATTGATTGGCCTATGCAACGCGACTTGGGAACGGGAGCAGCCTCGTCGCTTTGTCCTCGCCGATGCACTGTTTCACCACGACGCCGCGGTGCCGCGGTTCGCGGTGCAAGCCGTGATCGGCCACGTCCGGCGCGCATCCCGATGCTGCATTCCGAAAGTTGCCCTCGTCGCTCTGTCTCTCTCGCACTCATCGGGCGTGCCGCACAGGTGCGAGAGAGACAGAGCGCCGAAAACGACTCTCGAAACCATTCCACTGGTGGCCCTCGAGCCGAAAATTGCCTCCGCAGACTGATCCCGAGGGTCGTCCTCGTCGCTCTGTCTCTCTCGCACCTAAACGGGACGCTCCATGTGTGCGAGAGAGACAGAGCGAAAGGACTCCCGGATTCTGTCTGCCCGCAGCCCTCGAGAGCACCGCGCAGGCCGAGAAGGCCAAGGCAGATCCGACCGGCCAGATTTCCTAAGCATCGCCGGAGTGGCAGAGCCGCAGAGCCGCCATAATCGCCACCAATAATCTGTTCGGCTCGGCGTCGCACGCGAACAACGGCCATCCTCTTTTCTTGTTAGTGTCTCGTTTTTTTCCGGTTCGACATCATGTAAGCGTGCCATGAACGAGCGTTTAATTGAATCGCAGGTGAGGCGTGTTGCCCGTGTCACTGCGAGGGACAGAGCGGGACAGACAATGGAGGATCGCCCCCGTGTCACCGCACGGGGGAGAGAGAGAGAGAGAGAGAGAGAGAGAGAGAGAGAGAGAGAGAGAGAGAGAGAGAGAGAGAGAGAGAGAGACGGAGGATCGCGCCGAGGACGGCGTGTGGCCGCCAGGAGAATGCGTCCAGCACTTTTGTGCGCTGTTTTACGAGTCGCGGCGAACGGGGTCCTCCAACGGGGTCCTCCAGCCTAGCCTGCCATGCTCCAGCAGAGCGTTCTTGCGCCATCCGCCGTGATGACAATCCTTGGCGGCGTGCGGCGGCGCGGAAGCCGGTAGGTCGGGGAGAACGAGGACCACCACCAGACGCTCTGACGCGCCGCCCGGACTTGGTCAAGTTCAAGGACAAGCCGGGGGCCTCGGCCTGGAACCGGACGGACGGGCAGGCGCGAGGCGCACAGTGGGCCAGAAGACCGGTGGAGGCGGCCGAACCTCGAGACACGTTTTGAGCTCCAGAGTCGCTAAGCAGGACTCGACCCGAGCGTGTGACCCCACCAATGGATTCCTCGTTTGGAGAGCAATCCATTGGTGGGGTCACACGGTCGGTTCGAGTCCTGCTTAGCGACTCTGGGGCTCAAAACGCGTCCGGGATTTTCACCGCTTCCACCGGTCGCCTGGCCCACTCTGAGGCGGCTGCCCGAACCGGAGGGCGGTTGTCCGTGTCTGCGTGCTCGGCGGGGCGGCGGGATGCAGCTGCACACTCATTCCGAGAGTCGTTTTCGTCGCTCTGTCTCTCTCGCTCTCGCACGGGACGCTCCATGAGTGCGACAGAGACAGAGCGACGAAAACGACTCTCGGAATCAGCCTGCCGGCGACTGCCCGCCCGGCGCGGCTGGCAGATGGGTTGCCTACCCGCGCGGCGCACGTAGAACCCGCCTAGTTGCGCCACCGGCCGCCGCCGCAGCGGCGCAGCACCGTCGCGCAGATAATGTAAGTCGAAAACGGCGGGAACGCGGCGGAGGGGGCGGCGGCGCGGCGGGGAGGGGCCGGGGCCGCCGTCCCTCCTTTCCCGGCCTTTCAGTGTCGAGGCAGAAGGCAGAGTCGCCGGGGAGCCGGTGTGGCGTGCACTGTGCACCGTGGACACGCCAAGCAGCGCCAAGCAGCGCCAAGCAGCCGTCGAACGACAACACAGCTGGCCGCCGCGGCGCCAGCACGCCGCCACACGCCGCACGAGCATCGCGTCGACCGCCGGTGCGTAGAAAGCGAATTTTCGCGGCAAATTTCCCTCCCACTCCCACTCTCCCCTTTCCCCGGATGCGGGTCCATTTCGCCCAGTCATATTACGCAAAGTCAGCGGGGAAACGTGCGTCTGCAGTGCAGACCGATGCCGGAGGTGATTTACTTCGTCGCTCTGTCTCTCTCGCACCCCGACAAGACACCCCATGGGTGCGAGAGAGACAGAGCGACACAGGTATGAGGGTGCATCGCGCCGGGCTGCGGTTTACAGTGCGGTTTCGAATGTTTTGAATGGCCCGCGGTTCGCGACGGACCGTGGCGACGGATGTCGGCGAAGGCGGCCAAGGCTGATGATGGCGGCGGAACTGGTTTCCAGTGCAGTCACTAGACTTCTGCTATGCGCCAGGCGCGGAAAGACATTATCCCCTCCGGTTCGTCGCTGTCTCTCTCACTCAAGGAGTGCCTTGTAGATGAGCGAGAGAGACAGCCAGGCCAAGGAGGTTTGTCGGCACCTGACGAAGTACCCTGAGCTTATGCAAATACGCTATTTACTTTGTTTACTACACGTAACATTGCTTTGCATATATTACGAAGTAGTCTCAGTAGTATTGCACGCTGTAAGCTTAAAATCCTTTTGAGGACTGTAATAGTTTGTAAGGTTTGAAAAGCGAGCCGCTTCCGTGAGATAAACACGGCCTCACTGATGCGTGTGCCTTCCCATGTTGCAGTGTGCCCCTGGACTATGGTCACGCGTGATTGGAACGGTCTGTGATACCTAAATACGTGAATTGCGTCGCTCAATTTTGAAACAGGTAAGTGCAATGCGTGCGTGAAAGGAGTGGACACGCAAGAACGATCCCATTGGTGACCCACCTTGAAATTATTGGCAATGAGCGTGTATGCAAAGTGCAGGGGACGGGGTGCTCTGAAAGTTTCAGCTGCGCGCTTGGAAAATGCGACCAAACCGGTAAGAAGTGAAGTAGCGCGGTTCGATTACCTACAGTGGTGGATCCAGAGCCGGGCCGCGGGAGGGGCGAAGTAGCACTTTTTGCCCACTGACAGGGGGCAAAGTGTGGCTTTTTTCCTGCCTGTCAGACGTCGGGGCCAAGGAGGGTCAATTGTTGCCCCCCCCCCCTCCCCCCGCGATCCGTACCTGATTATGTACAGTATGAATAAGTTGCATAAAACAAGCACCGTTTTGATTTAAACTGTCTCACCTCATCAAAACGCGACCGTCGTTTTCAAACCTGCCCGTGAATTCCACGAATTTAGCATGTCTGCAGTCAGTCTGCAGTTGTCCGGGTCGCGGTGACTTCAGGCGTACATTGACTTGTCTCTCCGACCATCATCGTCCGTGAGCAATCGTTTCCCCCACTTTGCCCTATCACATACTGCCGTCCCCTTAAAGGGCATAAATCGTTAATGCCTTTAGGAAGGGCATTACAATTTTGCTTGAAATTCCTCTTCCATTTACGCCCTTTCCAAGGGCATAAAACGAATTATGCCCTTGCAAGGGCGTAATTTTTATGCCTTTGTTTTACCCGTGTGTCTGTCTCCTCTCGCGCCCCGACTGGACGCTCGGTGGGCCAGAAGACCGGTGGAGGCGGACAAAATTTTAGACGCGTTTTAAGGTTCAGAGTGGCTTAATGGGACTCGAACCACACGTGTGACCCCACCAATGGATTCCTCGTTCGGGGGGCAATCCATTGGTGGGGTCACACGTTCGGTTCGAGTCCTGTTTAGCGACTCTGGAGCTCAAAACGCGTCCATAGTTTTGGCCGCCACCGCCGGTCTTCTGGCCCACTGTGAGACGCCCCATGAGCGCGACAGAGACAGAACGACGGAAGCGCTGTTCGAAAATGAGCCGGTCCGCGTGTGGCGTGTGCACCGAAAGAGTTGTCTCGTCGACGCCGACGCGCCGCCCGCTTGTGTCCTCGGCCGATAGCGAGTGTAGCGAGGCGGTGGCGTTGCAGTGGGGCAGCGCCCCAGCAGACTGATTCCGAGAGTCGTTTTCATCGCTCTGTCCCTCCCGCACCCGTTCGGGACGCCCCATGAGTGCGAGAGAGACGGAAACGACTCTCGGAATCAGTCTGCAGGGGGCACGGGGGCACGGTGGGGCACGGCCCCCTAGAGTCCTCCCCACGCGTTCACTGTAATCTATCTTTCCTTCCGTGTGTCGATGCGATAGAAAGCAGATAGAAACCCGCCCGTCATCCACGCATCCAGCGCCTTATCTGCTACCTGCGGTCTCCGCAGTCTCTGCCCTGCGGCCCATCGTGAGTCAGCTGTAGAAAAAGCGCGTCCCGGTCAGCTTTATTTGGAGATGACATGGCGAATTTAAAATTACGCCTACGCTGGAAACGCAACGGTCTTCGAATCTTTTTCGGTTCTGGTGGTTCGAGGCGCGCCGAGGGCATTGGCGAAAATGACGCCAATTGGAATGTGAATGTGAATCCAATCATCGTTGACCCGCGCGTCCGTGGCGGCATCGCCAAAACAACGAACGCACACAATAGTGACGTCATAAGATATGATAATTTGGATGCTTTCCATCAAAATTTCGACCAAAAAAAAGTAATTTTGACAATCACAGTGACGTCATTTTAACGTTTTCGTAAGTGCTTCGTATTTTCTTTTTTTTTTGGGGGGGGGGGCAGGTCGTTTAGTTAACCAAAAGCCGTGACCTTCTGTCGATGCAAATCGATTGGGAAGGGGTACTCCCACGACGCGACGGGCCCATCAAAACCCCCCACTGGTCGCCTCGCTATCCGGCACCGGGCCGTACAGAATTCTCCTCAAGGTCGCTTCCAGAATAAAGCGCTTCTATCACGTATCGCGGAGCGGCACGGACAGCAGACTGATTCCGAGAGTCGTTTTCGTCGCTCTGTCTCGCTCGCACCTCAACGGGACGCCTCATGAGTGCGAGAGAGACAGAGCGACGACAAGGACTCGCTTCCAACTTGCGATTCGAGCTTCCAAGGTGCTCTCCTACTCCCGCCACTGCCTCGCCGCGCGTCTCTGGCCTACATCAACATCCTCGACTCTATCCTCTGCGGTTTTTTGGTCGTGAGTCCTCGGCGAACGCTGAATCAGAAAGTAGGTCCGTTCTGAGCGTAACGAACGAGGAGCGTAATGAGTGTAATTCTCCGCTTGGAAACAAGTAGACGCCTCACAGTGGGCCAGAAGACCGGTGCAGGCGGCCAAAACTCTAGACACGTTTTGAACTCCAGAGTCTCTCAATGAGAGTCGAACCGAACGTGTGACCCCACCAATGGAATGCTCTCCGGACGAGGAATCTATTGGTGGGGTCACACGTTCGGTTTGAATCCTGTTTAGTGACTTTAGAGCTCAAAACGCGTCCAGAGTTTTGGCCGCCTCCATCGGTCTTCTGGCCCACTGTGCGCCTCATGGAAAGGAGAGACATGAAGGTCGTCACCTCTCGGTCCAGGATCCGGCCGTGCCGATGCTGGCAAATGAGCAGCACAGCGAGCCTCTGTCTCTCTCTCACCCTTATGGCGAGCCCCATGAGTGCGACAGAGACAGAGTGGCGAAACGACTTTTCTTAATCGCCCGGCTGTTTCCTCTGCAGACAAAAATATCCGCTTGACCCAACGTGTGCGTCTTCTGCCCGCCAGGATGGCGCCCAACATCGCCCAGGTGGACGTGCACGGCGGCCAGTGCGCGTGCGGCCTGCAGCACGACCCCGACGTGCTGCACGAGCACGAGGTCCACGAGCACCAGGGCCTGCAGCAGCACGGCGGCGGCTTCCGCGGCCTCGGCTGGCGGTACCCCGACAGGAAGAAGGGGCTCTTCGCCTCGGTGGACGAGTGGCTGGAGGGCCGACGGCAGGTGGACGGCGCGGAGGGGCTGTGGCGCGTCGACGACAACCTGTACGACCTGACGCCCTTCATGGAGAGGCACCCCGGCGGCCCGCACTGGCTGCAGCTGACCAAGGTACGCGGGCCTGCTGTGGGAGTGAGAGATGACAGCCCACAGTGGGCCAGAAGGCCGGAGAAGGTGGTCAAAGTCAGGAAGGGTTTTGAGCTCCAGAGTCTTGATTCCGAAGAGTGATTTCGACGCTCTGTCTTTCTCGCACCCCTACGGCACACCCGACGAGTGCAAGAGAGACAGAGCGACGAAACCGTCCCTCATCATCAGACAGCTGAAACAGCTCGCTTGGCGCTTCGCATGCTTCGCAGGGCACGGACATCACGGAGGTGTTCTACCTGCACCACATCACGGACGCGGCCGAGGCCGCGCTGCCCAAGTTCCTGGTGCGGCGGGCGGCCGCGCCGCGCAACTCGCCCTTCACCTTCCACCGCGACGGCTTCTACATGCAGCTGCGGGCGCGCACGCGCAAGCTGCTGGAGCACATCCCGAAAGAGGTAGGCGCTGCACAGCGTGCCAGAAGACCGGTGGAGGCGGCCAAAACTCTAAAAGCGTTTTGAGCTCCAGAGTCACCAAACAGGGCTCGAACCGAGCGTGTGACCCCACCAATGGATTCCTCGTTCGGAGACCAATCCATTGGTGGGGTCACACGTTCGGTTCGAGTGCCATTTAGCGACTCTGGAGCTCAAAACGCGTCCGGGATTTCGACCGCCTCCACCGGTCTTCTGGCCCACTGATCGGCGTGGTGCCGTCGCGGCGATACTCCCCGCGCGAGGGGCTCGCGTCGCAGCGCGGGGTATTGACGGCGTCCTTCCCTCTGCCGACAGGCCATCCTGGAGGCCCAGGCGCGGTCCAAGCTCATCGTGGACTCGCTGGCCGCGGCGGCACTGCTGGCGTGCGTGGCGGCGGGCTACCTCAACAGCTTCCTCGTCGCCGTCCTGGCCGGCCTGCTCGTGTCGCTCACCGCCAGCGGCGCGCACAACTTCTTCCACCAGAAGCACAACTGGCGCCGCTACCTGTTCGAGCTCAGCCTCATGTCCTCCAGGGAGTGGATGGTGAGCCACGCGCTGTCACACCACATCTTCACCAACACCCTGCAGGACCTGGAGATCACCTTCTTCGAGCCCGTCATCGCCTTCCTGCCGTACCCGGACAAGCCGGCCGTGGTGCGCTACGCGTCCTGGGTGTACTGCGTGGTGCTGTACGCCGCCCTCGCCCACGGGCAAGTCATGAAGAGGTAGGTTCCGGGTTCAAACGCCAACTTTCTAAGTTTTCCCTCTCGTCGGGACACAGCAATGCAAATCGAAATTCCCCTCCAGGGTCATGGCCATGAGGGTGGAGTGGACGGACGCCGTGGGGCTGTTGGTGCCGGCGTGCCTGCTGCTGGGCGGCGCGTCGCTGTTGGACGCCTGGCTGCTCTGGACGTACATCCTCATCGTGTCCAGCCTCTACTTCGCCTTCCAGGGGCTCACCGCCGGCCACCATCACCCCGACAAGTACCACGAGGGTGACGCGCTCGGGTAAGTCCACCTCCCCTTATTTGAACCACTAGCTACTAGCTTCCGCCACACAGTGGGTCATAAGACCGGTGGAGGCGGCCAAAATTCTAGACACGTTTTGAGCTCCAGAGTCGCTAAACAGGAGTCGAACGGAACGTGTGACCCCACCAATGGATTCCTCGTTCGGAGAGCAATCCATTGGTGGGGTCACACGTTCGGTTCGAGGCCCATTTAGCGACTCTACAGCTAACGCATCTAGAGTTTTGGCTGCCTCCACCGGTCTTCTAGCCCGCTGTGCGCCACCGCTGTGCCAACACAACCCGTCTCCTTTCCGCAGCGCCGACATGGACTACGGCCTGATGCAGCTGGCCGCCACGTCGGACTGCTCGGGCGTGCGCAGCAAGGACTCCCTGGCCATGTCCATCACCCACTTCGGCGACCACCTCATGCACCACCTCTTCCCGGGGGTGGACCACGCCGTGCTGCGGCTGCTGGAGCCCGCCCTGCTGGAGACGCTGGAGGAGTACCGGCTGCCTGCCACCACCGTGCCCTTCTGGGAGGCCGTCTGGGGGAAGTACCGCCAGATGGCGCGGGTCACCCCCAAGCGTGGCCTCAACCACGCCGTCCTCCCCCAGCACTAGCACACTCATTCCGAGTGTCGTTCTCGTCGCTGTCTCTCCCGCACCCATACGGGACGCCCCATGAGTGCGAGAGAGACAGAGCGACGAAAACGAGTCTCGGAATCAGTCTGCAGCGCCAGCAGTGACCCCGACCGTCACTAGGAACGACAAGCGTCGAGGAGACGAACTTGAGTCACTCTACAGTGTACTCAATTGTGTGATAATGGCTGTAAGAATACTGACGACCGTGCTCAAGCGAAAGAAGAAAAGACTGAAGGTGAAAAGACTGTTTTTGTTTTAGGATGCTGTATTTCCAAAGACACGACTGAATCTAGTTGAGAATAATTGGCTGTTTTTATTTAACTATTCTTACTATTTTCACAAAAATGAATGACTGTCACAGATTTTTCTACAGTTGATATGGAATGCTGCTGTAAGTCTAGCTCTCTAACTAATTTTATTTAGATAGAAATAAAAATCGCCTCTTTATGTGCAAGGTGTATTTGTTAGCTGATTGCAGTGATAGGAAAGTTGGTTTTGTTCAAAGAAACAAGTTTGTTTCGTTTTTTCATAAAAATATTTTTATTTCTTATTGTTACGAATAGAAACACATCGATCACTTTGTCAAAGCAGATTTAAAATACAGGAATTGTTCAAATGGAATACATTTTGACATCACAGGATAAATTGATTACTGTAAAAGGCTAACTATAGAAAAGGGCAGGGGCTAACTTACTACAATAGATGGGTTTGTTTGTATCGTCCAGTCAACAGTTTCTAAAAGAAGAGGCATGTTGAAGTGTTCAGCAATACTTCTAAAGGTTCTGAGGTGAATACCGAAATCTGACTTGGAGAGGAGTGTGTTATATTCACCAGCACAGCTGCAATACTCAGGCATATTTTCCATTTTTATCTGAAATGCATGAAAAAAAAAAAAAAGGAATAGAAAGTAAGTGGTTAAAATAGAAAATAAGTGGTTACAATAAAAAAATAATGGTTTTAGACTTATGTTTTTCTTACCTGTAAACATTTACGGCATTGCAAGTCCTGGAGAATGGCTGCCATGGCTTTCCTATTTATTGTGTCTACAAGCATGTGTTCTATCTCCACATTTTCATAACTGTTGTTGCACATGGGGCACTTCCAAACAGGCCTGTGGAAAAAAACATACAAAATTTAAGAAGAAAATTAACATGTAACAATGATTTTGAAGCTAGAAATTCATGACATACCTTCCCTCGTCCTCAGCTTTATAATTGTCCTTGCAGAGATCAATATCTCGACAATGATTGCAACTTTTACAGATGACCTCTGGAAGAACAAAGGAAATGCAGGGATCCTTCCACTCAGCTAAATCACTAAAGTTGCCAACTTTGATGAGCCGCAAGAGATTCCGACGCAGGACACCAACTTCATCAGATACAGATGTGTCCAAGGACAAGACCTAGGGAAACAGAATATGTTACAACACATATAACATTTTAGTTTCTGGTTACAGATGACTTATTGCATTTAATTTATGTACCTTGCAAACAGCTTTGACAAATTCCAAAGCAGGGTTTATTAGTTTTAGATGAGCACCAGGCAGTTGAGGGAAGAGAGATTTCTCATTGCAGGGTTGACTAGGTAGTTTTTTGTGGATTTTCTCAGTAATGCTAAGGAATAAGAAAATAAATCACAATGGATAAAAGAAACTCGCCACAGGAAAATTCTACTCAAAATGAGAAGACATAGACATAAGAAGTTACTTACTAAAATAGCTTTTGTGCCATTTCCCCAGTGATGAGTTCTTTGGCATACTCTGCAGTTGATGCATGAACGCCAATACCCAAGGGTTTGCTTTGGGTTTGACTTTGAGAGCTGACGCGCTTCTTGCGAGCAGGGGTCTGCCCATCTGCAACGAGGTTCTCTTTCAAGTGTAGGTACACTTTCATTATATATCCTGCTATGATAGCTGAGAAATTGTCTTGGCAGGCAGCATCTTCAGGGAGGTATTCCATCAAGTTCCAATTCATCACAATTTCAGGCTGCAAAAAAATAATTGTAGTTCATGATGACACATCATTAACTTAAACTGTAAACAAAAAATGCTCGAGGTAAATAAAACAAACAAATCTACTAACAGTGTCATCATCATCTTTGGGTGTGCAGATTTCATCTTCATTTTGCTCATTCTCTAACTCTGTTGGCAACTTGCCCCTTACACCAGCATGGTTAGAGAGATCAAGCCACAACAAGTACTCCCAGCACTGTTGGTAAGTAATTTGAATACTGTGGAAGAGCTCCTTATTGTGGATACTGGTGACTATGTACTCTACATAAGCTAGAGCATCTTGAACATTTTTCTTTTTGGTACACAACATTACTTTGTTGAAATTAGCATAAATTATGATAGAGCCAAGTCGCTTGAATTCAGCCACCAGTTGCATGAATAGTTTCTTCATGAGATTGTGGAGTGTGCGCCTCAACGCTGGATCATAGAGTAAGGCATTGGGTGACCTTATCCAGCGATAAAAGTGGACAATTTGAAGGTCAGCAAATTCGTTCTTGTACATGGTGACGTCACGCAGCCAAGCATTCACCATAGAACGAAGAACCTTGAAAGCCGCACTGCATAATGCAGTCTCATCATAGCTGGGTAAGATTGCTGTCTGTCCAGAAATCATATCTTCCAGCGATGCTTGAGGCATGGCGTCAAATGCAACTCCAGCAGCTGTTCCTTCAATGTCATGAACATGGTGAGACTGGAGCAGGGTATTGACAGCAAGACTGTCAATCTCTAGATCCACACACAGCGTTGAATATGCATTCGGTGAATTTGAAACAACAGTAGAACTTTCTTCAAATTCTGTCAAAAGCCTGCAACATGGAAAGTAGATCATGATGAGGAGAGCAAGACCATCCAAGAACCTACAATCCCCAAAACAACAGAGAAACAAGGAGCACGGAGTGCATCACTCCCATTACCTGTTGTCATCTGCTTCCCTTCCACCAAGATCTGGTCTGTCCGTATTTGAACACCAAAGGACAAAATTTTGTTTAGAAAGATGCCTTGCATAGAACAAGTCTGCACCAAATAGGGTGGCATCCGCAGGTAAATTTCCTAGTGGTACATGGAAGTATCGGCATTGTTCAGTACTAATTGTAAGAACCCTCTCGCTGTTCAAATAATGACGCAAGATAGCTTTGGCTCCTATTCTCTGCCAGTCCAAGGCTGAATACAAATTTTCTGCATCTCCAAGACCATGTATGGCCATCTGGGGGAATTCCCCTAAGCCTGGCATTACTGAATTGATGGTGGAAAGATCTGCAAACAAAGGATAAGAGTAAAGTACTCTGACATGACATCAAAATTTTTATGTGAAAGAGCATGTAATACGTACCATGTATTGACTGAATAGCCAAGAGAGAAGGCCCCTTTCTTTCATCACGGTAAGCCTGCAGAGCATTTTGAATAAGTCTGTAAACTTGCTTAACATCTGTTTCAACTCGAATTTCAAAGTTAAATTCTTTCTGAGGCAAAGATGTTTCTTCATGACCTCGAGATACTTTTGCATTTCGTTCAGCATTATAAAGTGAGCTCATGTTGGGCATCTGATTGGTACGAACTGTGTCAAGAACAATTATCAATGACTTCTTGGTAGGAGGTATGAACAATCCAAACATTGCTCTGGTTCCATTGGGTATTTGGTGATGGTATAAGTACAAATGCTTGAGTGGATTTCCATCTTCGGTTGTTTCTAAATATGACTGCTGAGATAAGCTACGGAACTGAAGATCCTCAAGTTGGAAAGTGTCTGGAACACCAGCATGCGCCATGCTTCTTGCCACATGTTTATCAACAGAGCAAACACAACCCAGTCTAATCAGTGCTCTGAATTCCAAGGACATTTGTGTCTCATAAATGCCCTCAATGTCTGGAGCAGACAAATCAGCCATCAGCTCCTGACTGTGCTCTCTGAACAGGTCTTCTGGTACAGAATATTCATATAAATGAAACACAGGTCTCGATCTTGGAAGGATCCTGTTACATTTCTTCCACAGGGTTGTAGCATTATTTTCTGGTTCAGCCCTTGCTAGTCTTTGGTTGACATAGAAAATTCTAGGAACCTTCAGCTTGATTTGGTGAAGGTCATGCCCCACTAATGCCCAGAGTTTTAGAACACCTGGCTGACTTGTTTCAGCAATCTGAAAACAACAAAAGGATCATTAAAATAACATGAATACTGATAATACATTCCGTTCTTAAACAGTTTGGAGGCAGTAGGATAAACGTACCTGAATAATTTGCCAAGGAGTGTCAAGAAGAGTGCGTTGAGTTCGCCTCAAAAATCCACCCAATGTTGCAGCAGAACCACGTCCAAAGCCAGAGGGTCGAGCTATAGGGGCCCCGTCACCATTGTCAATACGGGCACGTTTTTCAGCCCCACCTCGTCTGGCTGCACGAGCCTCAGCCTGCAGCGCCCATTTCTTCTTCTGGTACAGAAGCCATGCTTGCCTCTCTTCCTGTTACACAATAACAACTTTTAGTACAAAACAAAAAATATTTAACAAGAAAACAAGTCCTGAGAATAAAATCGAGAACTAACTTTATTCGTGCCCATGGGGGGAGGGGGCCCCAATGCCTCTCTCCAATCCTGAGAAGACAAGGAAGAGTCTTGACTGGTGCCAGGAGGAGTTTGGAATCTTTTCCTTTTGTTACATACAGGTCTGCCTCCTACAGGGCTGACTTCGCTACCCCCAAGGTCTTCAATGTCAGCCATCTCAGAACCAAACATGTCCTCAGAACCTCCATTGGCTACTTCATTTCCGTCCATTCTTTCACTACCAACTTCCTGAGGGACTTCTTTAGGTTTAACTGAAAAGAGTTCGGTGATTCTCCTCTGTTTGAGAGTGTCATTCTTTTCCAGCAGCTTCTTGTGCAACCAATCAGGATGGCGCACTCGAGGCACAGGGTTGGCAACACCTTGCATGGCAGCAGGAATAGTAATAATTTTCTGAATTGTCCCTCCCAGTCTTTCAATGTAATAATTCCAATCCAAAACTTGACGTATGTCAATATCATTGATAGATGTATCTTTGAGCCACTTTCTGAGGAAATGACGTTTGACACTTGGTTCAGACTGAAAAATGGCCAGAGGGATGGCTCGTTCGGTGACAGGTGCACCTTCTGGTTTCTTACTTATAATAAATTTGCATGCCAGACCAGCATCTTTCACCATTTGATCTCCAAGGAACTCAGCAAGACGTTTAGCAGTGCTGATAGAAGTTGATTTTTGACCTCCATATTCTTCAAGTTTCTTTGACATAGAGCGATTCTCAGAAATAAGATCAAACAGCTCTGAATCGGGCAAGTTTACACCTTTACTGTACAAAACATCGAGCCAGTAGTCTGCCACCTTAGCAACTGAGTCATAGCACTCTTCAAGAGTGTCACCCTTCAAAAAAGCATCAAAAACAGATGATTGAAAAATTTTAACTAGCTGAAGTTCGCCTCTTCTTTTCACTTCAAAGCCTTTCAGTTCAGCAAGTGACCCATCAAAATTGAAGACGGCATATCTTTTCTTCAATCTTTTACCCTCTTCTTTTGATGATGGGAGTACCATGGCTTTGTAGGGTCCATCTACCTCAAAGAATACAGAGTTTTCACTTCGCAGCTTATATTCCAAGGTTTCAGCATTGATTAGTTCATGGTATTGATCATTGGTGAAAGCATCTTTCACCATATAATTTAATATAGCATTTGGATAAGAAATGGTCACCTTGGACTTTTTAGGATGGGTACTCTTAATGACATAATTTTCAGGAAAAGATGCAGGCAAGATGCACCAAATTCCATCTGTATCAAGTTCCAGAGGGCGACCAACTTGTTCAATGATTTCTCTTGCCTTTGTGATAATATTTGCACCCGTGAAACAGACGATTCCAGCCATTTCCATACTGTGCCATCTGGCTCCTCTTCTCATAACATATCCATAGAAAGAGTTCAGAATACATTTGTGAGCAAGCTGCAAGGAGTCGTACAAAACTTCTCGATTCTTGGCAGATTTGATCTCACCAGCATCACCACTTGCAACTGCGTCAGAAACTTGCTTCTTAGCCACCTTTTGCAGACCTTTGTACTCATACCTGCGGTCTCGGAATGCTCGCACAGTGTCGACATAAAAGGAGTTTTCCTTTTGGCAGATTGTCGTGTATCTTTCTTCAATACGAGTGACATGAGTTTTCTTGTAGGCTTTGCGGCAATATTCTGATAATCTTTTCTTTTCATAGGCTGCTTGATCCTCTCGACTTAACTGATGGAAAGCACGATGTGGTCCTCCCGGAAATTGAGGAGGGAACTTTTCTGTTTCCAATTGTTGTTGAATTCTTTGAAATTCGTTACGACTGGCAGGCATGACTTCACCACGCCACATCCAGGCCATTTTACGTTGGCACTTGGCACCAGGTCGATTAAAGTCACAAGCTGCACAGGTTTGCTCATCGACCTAAAAACAAAGATAACAAAATTTAATCCATGACATTGAGGATAGTTGTAAATGATCAATTATATGTGGCATCAGTTATCCAAATACCATTGCAGAGGGCTGGAGACGGTTTGTCAAAATAATATTAGGATACATAGCACCAACATCCAAGTGGTAGATGATGGGGGTTTCCAGGCGCATAGGAGTGTCTCTGAGATCTTGCAATTTAACTCGAATGTCATCAGCTATTTCTTCAAAGTTAGTGACCATTTCCAAAGGAATCTGTTCTTCCTCCACAATGGCATGTTTGAGAGCATCTTCTACATTACCCAGAAGCTTCTCACATGCACTTGGAACCTGGCAAAAGAATTATTGTATTCATAAGACTCATGGAAGTTATGGAAGACTCAATAGTTTAAAAATGAAAGTCAACATACAATACGAAACTGGCAAGGGATGTCTGCTCGAAACACGCCAGATTCTAGTGCTTCCACATGACCTCCAACATAAGTTTCCTGGTCCAAAACATGACCATCTTCACTCAGCTTATTCAATTCAGATTCCTGTTTGTTGGGGAAGATAATGTTGGCGTGGAATGCTTCAACCATAAGCAATGCTTCACAGAGAGTACCAGATCCTTTCCTCAAGACCTGAAGCAGGAAGAAAAAAAATTATTGAAGATGGATGGAAAATAAAGTGGATTGACTATAATCAAAACGGCAAGACTATTACCTCATCAGGTTCCAAAGGAATGATGGTGCACAGTGCAAAAATAAAGGGATGCACATACTTCATGTACAGGTAATAAGTGGCAACAGCATCAGACACTGAGTAATTAGACATAACTTGAGGTTGTTCCGCAGCCATAGCACACATGTCTTCAGGATCAATTTCAACAGGATCATAGCGGAGTTTAGCCTTAGCTACTGCTTTCAAATTCTGAGATCCAACAGGAAGGTATGAATCACGCTTCACCCAACTATAAAACGAGATGATGCAAGATAATGCAGGCTACAGCAATATGTAATACAGTTGTTAGTTGAGGTCTCCATGTAACACATACCATAGGCAGTCCATGTGCATCGCTGAGCGGCAACAGTATGTGCCTTCTTTGTTTTTGGAAAAGCCTATTTCCTGCTTCATGTCTAGCTGATGGATAGCTGCTCTGGCTTCCACAAAAGGCCAATCAAAAAAGTCACCGTTATAGGTGACAAAAATATGTGGCTTGACATCCATGATGTGTTCAAAAAATCGGAGCAAAAGAGCACGTTCATCAGGCTCATTAAAAATGGTAAAGAAGCCCTCAAACTCAGGTTTTGGAGTGTACTCGAAGTCCTCAACATCAGCAGAAATAATTTCCCTATTGGTAATAAGGTAACCCTGTTCAAAACAAAAAAAAAAAAGGAAAGAAAAATAAAAGATATTTTTAAGTTTACATGAGGGAAACAAATAAAGATGCACATTGCAAATCATACAAACCTGGCCATCAATCATGTAAGATATCATCATAATTTGATCAGACTGAGCATCTGGAAACTTCAGAGGAAGTTTGGTTGTTTCAATATCATATGCTAGAACAATCATATCAGGTCTTTCAATTATGTCATTTCGCTTTACAATAAAAGGGGCCTCTGCTCCTCGAGAACACACTGAGTACCATGAGCCACAAAATATTTTGTTGTCAATTGAAACTCGTATATGGTATGGTACATCATATTCCCTGAATGGCAAAATAAAAAATTTATAATTAACAAAAGAAATATCAAGAGAAAAGGGTGAAGGCAGTTAAGATAAAATGATCATTTGGATAATACCTTATATCAATAATATTTTCCATATGATCAGTAAACTTGGGTGTAACACCAGTACTGTTGGTAGCTAATGCTTTGGAGAGAAGTTCTGAGTAATAGGTGTTTCCCTTCTCCCTTTCTTTGTTCTTTTTCACAGCAGACATTATTTGAGGACGAACTTTCATCAAATCATTGACTGTGAGAAATGATAATTTGAGATACCGTTGCTTCAGACCAATCAAATGGTTGGGCTACAAAACACAAACAAAGAAACCATTATAAAATGTGCAATGTAAATAAAAGTTAATGCAATAGCATGAACCACTCATACCAAATCTAAATCTTCTTTTGACACTATCTCTAAAGATGAAATGTGCCCAGCAAACTTCTTTGAGATGTATGCTGAAACCTCTTGAATGTTTTCCTTCTTTGCTAAGATGTAGAAATATGGCTTGTATGGCAATGATGCCTTGAATCGTGTACCATCATCTTGAATAAAGTAATAGTCCACCGCACTTATCAATTTTTTATCTGCATCCAAAATTTCGGTCTGCAACAAGACATTAGTAAGAGCGTGCTTGATGCACAGTTGACAGACAGAACAAACACAGGATGCTTCAAAATCTATCATTGATACTCACTGTGTGCATATTGATGAGAAAGCCAGCCCGCTCTTGATGATCAGTAACTCGTTTAAATCCATATTTGCTGTCAATCGCATCGTTCTCCAAAGCTTGTTTCAGCCGACTTTCATTGTTATCCTCTCTGTAATAACAAAATGAATAAGTAAGCAGATACATTGTCAGACAACAACAAAAATGTGTTATAACGAAAACAACAACAAATATTCAATACAACAAACAATGCAAATAATGTATTACTTACTTTGGCCCACCACTAAAATTCTTTTCACCTCTGCCACCCTTTTCGGGTTTATACTTGCCACTGTTTTGCAACACCATATTGACTGCCTTTTCTTACTTTTCACATGTCATAGAGACACATTTATCAAAATTCATTCCTCCCAGCAATATATCAAAGTGACTAGAAAGCGGCAACAAATGTAAAACCTGTTGACACACAAAGGTTAGAACAGACGATTCTTGGCGCGTTTTCAGTGCCATTAAATGGAAGTAACAACCTGTAAGGTGAGAGTTTTTATAATGTGAAACAGAACGCCGACGACATGTGCTCAGGAAAGAAGCCGCTTAAACTTTTTGTAATGAAAAAGTGCACCTTTGAGGGGTTTGTGCACAAATGTACACAGTATGAAGTCTGAATTATTCCTTTGTCATATCGGTACGTTGGCAAGACGTGATGGTGTAGCAGACAGAAGACAGCGCCTTCTCGCAAAGCAGTCATGGTTTTCTCTCGTTTTCTTTCAAGGAAACGCAACAACTCCCAACATTTGATCGAAAACTTTTGAAACGAGAATTGAAGGTCCGAAATAAAATCGTTTTCAAAGCAGGTTAAGCAGACAGCGTAAAACACGCAGAACTGTATGCTTGATTACGGACTAAGAGGACACCACGGCAGCGTGGCCGAGTGGTCTAAGGCGCTGGTTTTAGGCACCAGTCCGAAAGGGCGTGGGTTCGAATCCCACCGCTGTCATCTCTTTTTCTTTTACCGAGCGCAAACCTCGGCAATGACGGCGTTCCTTTTCAGCGTGGTCTGTTCTAATCATTTACGGTTTGTTGGCAAATTTAGTATGAAGTGTAAATAGTTTTCATAATGAGACTTCCTGTGGTGTCGGGCCACGGGCCCTTGAAATGAAGACCAGGGACTCCATTCAACTTCTAAATGAGACGGCCACCTCCTAGGAGAGGCCATTAGGCTAGGCAGGCTGCAAGTCTGGAAGCCCCGAGAAATAATACGTGTCGAGGAGCAGAACGCAGGCAGAATGCTACACACGTTTGCAATCACATCGCACCATTTAAACTCTCATTCACCCTGTTTTTAGAGAGGTAGAGGAGATACTAGGAGGGCGATCTTTTCAAACAATGGACCATTTTTCTAAAAATATTTTTTTGTTTATTACAAAATAATATTAACGTACACAAACATAACAGTGCACCAAAGCTGTGCCGGTCGGAATCACCACTTGTTGGCCTCCTCCTTGGGGGCCTCGGCCTCCAGCGAGGGGATGCTGTTGGCGGCTGCCTCCGTGGACGCGGCCGAGGCCATCCTGGCCGTGGTGGCGACCTGGAGCGTGGCCATGGCGGTGGCGGCCGGCCGCGCCTCGCCGCTCTCCTCGTCGGGGACGTCCCAGTTCGGGCCGTCCTCGAAGAGGTCCTCCTTGCCCGCCTGGCGGAGCAGCTTGCTTTGGCGGATCACGTAACCTGCCGGCAAAGAGGGGCGCTGAGATGCGAGTGCACAGTGGGTCAGAAGATCGGTGGAGGCGGCCAAAACTCTAGACACGTTTTGAGCTCCAAAGTCGTTAAATGGGACTCAAACCAAACGTGAGACCCGACCAATGGATTGCTCTCCGAACGAGGAATCCATTGGTGGGGTCACACGTTCGTCTAGAGTCCTGTTTAGTGCCTCTGGAGCTCAAAACGCGTCTCGAGTTTTGGCCGCCTGCGCCGTTCTTCCGCCCCACTGTGCGCTGAGATGCGAGTGGTCTGCTAAATTGGGTGCGATCGGAGCCGAGCTCGCAGTGTACACCCCTACCGGTGAGGGTGCCGCTGGCCAGGCTCACGACGAGGGTGGCGCACAGGGAGGCGAGCTGGAAGGCGGCCTGCTTGCCGGCCGAGCGGCCCAGGCCGGGCTGCAGGTTGAGGAGCACCGTCCCCTCCCACATGAGCTTCTCCAGGGCGTCCTTGTCCGTCGGCGCCATGGCCGGGAACTGGACGTACAGCCTGCGACAGCCAAACGGAACATTGCACAGTGGGCCAGAAGACCGGTGGAGGCGGTCGAAATCCGGGACGCGTTTTGAACTCCAGAGTCGCTAAATGGGACTCGAACCAAGTGTGTGATCCCACCAATGGATTGCTCTTCGAACGAGGAACTCATTGGTGGAGTCACACGTTCGGTGCGAGTCCCATTTAGCTACTCTGGAACTCAAAACGCGTTAAGACCTTCGGCCGTCTCCACGCAGTCCTCTAGCCCACTGTGCATTGCAGCGCCGAACGGGGCGGAGCTGGATCAGCCGCCGCCGAATTGTGAAGGATCGTTTCGTCGCTCTTTCTCTGTCGCACTCGCGGGGCGTGTCGTAAGGGTGCGAGAGAGACACTCACGCGTTGCCGTAGTCGTTCTGCGCGTCGGTGGCGAAGGCGGCCATGACGGCGCCCACGATGGCGGCCATGACCCCCGGCATGCCGTGCAGGTTGTGCACGCCGCAGGTGTCGTGGACCTTGAAGCGGCTCAGGACCCACGGCTGCCAAAGAGGAGAGAAAGAGGGATGTTATTGGAATTCGGTCGTGCATCGTTTGATTCGTAGAAGGCGGGGCGAGGCGGAGCGGACCTGGAGGTACGCGTAGCCCACGACGGACAGAGCGCCGGCGAGGCAGCCGACGACGAGCGCGCCGACGGGCTGCACCAGGAGGTCGGCCGCCGTGCCCATGGCCACGCCGCCCGCCAGGGTGGCGTTCTGCACGTGCACCATGTTGAACTTGCCGCCGCGCTGCGAGAGCGAGGACACGGCGAAGGCCGCCACGCAGCCCGACGCCAGCGCCAGGTACGTGTTGATGACGGCCCGGTGGCGGGCCGGACCCACCGCCAGGGCGCCGTTGAACGAGGGCCAGAACAGCCACAGGAACACGGTGCCTGCGGAGGGAGGAAACGGTCGTCATAGTGTTCATGGACGTTCAAGCACTGTGTACTCCTCATGCAGATCGGACTGCTGTTTGCCAGGCGCGGATCCAGGGGGGAAGGCGATGGGGGCGTCGAAGCCGCCTGAAAGGTAGCTTGAGCTTTGCCCGTGTAGGTAGTCAACCTTTGAGACATCGCCCACCCTTGCCGAGAGATTAAGAAGAGTCCTTTCGTCGCTCTGTCTCAGTCGCACTCATGGGGCTCTCCATAAGGGTGTGAGAGAGACAGAGCGACAAATCACGCTGTTGTCCTGCTCATGGCACAGTGGGCCAGAAGACTGGCGGAGGCGGCCGCAACTCCAGACTCGTTTTGAGCTCCAGAGTCGCTGAATGGGACTCGAACCGAACGTGTGACCCCGCCAATGGATTCCTCTTCGGAGCTGTAATCCATTGGTGGGGTCACACGTTCGGTTCGAGTCCCATTTAGCGACTATCTGGATCTCAAAACGCGTCCGTGTTTCTGACCCACTGTGCATTGGTGGCCGCCGGGCTGTCAACTCACCGACCATGGAGAACATGTCCGACGTGTAGCTGGACCGCTCCTGCGTGGTGCCGGCCGGCCGGCCCAGCGCGCGGCTCACGGCCAGGCCGAAGTAGGCGCCGAAGACGTGCACCACCATGGAGCCGCCCAGGTCCACGGCCTGCAGCACGTGCGAGGAGAGGTACTCGTTGGCGGCGAAGAACACCATCTCGACGAAGCCCATGAGCACCAGCTGCAGCGGCGTGGTCTTGCCCAGCACCGCGCCCATGGAGATGAGCACGGCGGCGGTGGCCACGTCGGCGTTAAGGAGGCTGTGGAACACGGAAAGGACGAGGGTTCGAATCCAGGCCGACGGCACACTGTCTCGCCTTTCATCGGCGAGCCCTACCTGACGAGCGACAGGTTGATCTTGCCGTGGTCCAGCTTGAGGAAGCCCTGGCAGAGCGCGGCCCACTGCACCATGATGGCGCCGAGCAGCAGCGTGAAGCCCACGGCACTGTAGCCGTACTTGCGCAGGAACATCATGAGGAAGCCGAAGCCGACGAAGATCATGACGTGCACGTCCTGGAACACTGCACACAGAAGGCCGTCTTTGTTTGAGCGCGCCGCGCCGTCTGTCATCCATCCAGGGCGCGCCCCTTCGCCCCCGCCTCGCCCCCGCACAGTGGGCCAGAAGACCGGCGGAGGCGGCCAAAACTCTAGACGCGTTTTGAGCTCCAGAGTCGCTAAATGGGACTCGAATCAAACGTGTGACCGGAGAGCAATCCATTGGTGGGGTCACACGTTCGGTTCGAATCCCATTTAGCGACTCTGGAGCTCAAAACGCGTCTGGAGTTTTGGCCGCCTCCACCGGTCTTCTGGCCCACTGTGCCCCGCCCCCCGCGAGCCGCCCTGAGCCCCTTGGGCCGGGCCCGGCCGGGCCCCTGGGCGCCCCTGGGCCTCCGAGGCTCGCTCGGAGGGGCGAAGGACGAATTTCCCTCGCGTAGTCAGTTGCAAGGTTTCTTCACATGTGTCTGCGCGCGATCACAGACTTACGCACACACACACGAGCGCGCGCGCGCACACACACGGGGGACGCACCCAGGCGGCAACCATGCGGAATCTAGCTACTGCTTTGCGATTTCCAAGGACGGGAAAAAGAGAGGGCCGGACGAAGGGACAGGGCGAAAGGGTGAAAGGGTGAAAGGGAGGAGGGGACGGCGGAGGACTGCGCCGCGGCGCCCCGGACGCGCCAAGCCCAGGACGCGCAAAGGACGATCAGAAGCCACACGGAAGCTGCCCCCCTCCCCCACCCCACCCCCGCAATGCCACGGCATGGCCGGCCATCTGGAAAATTCAACGCTACAGCCGTGGAGGCCCTGGAGGCCCGAAGGAAGGCGGCGCTGCTGGAAGCCTTCGACAGGTGCGCCCCTCCCTTCCCCTCCCATCCCTTCCCCACCCCTCCCTTCCTCTCCCTTCCCCTCCCCTCCCTTCCCTTCCCCTTCACCAGCGCCTACTTATCATCTCGACAGCGTAGTAGCCGTCGCCGCGTTGGCTGCGACGCAGATACGGCTCCGAGGTCTCGTCGTAGTCGACCAGGGCCACGAACACGGTCAGCAGTCCGAGCTGGCAGAAGGCGAGCACCCCGCCCAGCACCACGTCCTGGGGCAAGCACGGCGTCGACGCGCGTCAGCGGGCCGTCGTCGTCGGCGTCCTCGGGAGGGCGACGGCGTCAACAGACTGATTCCGAGAGTCGTTTTCGTCGCTCTCAAGGCGCCCATGAGTGCGAGAGAGACGGAGCGACGCACAGTGGGCCAGAAGGCCGGCGGAGGCGGACAAAAGTCTAGACGCGTTTCGAGGTCCAGAGCCGCTGAATGGGACTCGAACCGAACGTGTGACCCCACCAATGGATTGCTTTCCGAACGAGGAATCCATTGGTGGGGTCACACGTTCGGTTCGATGCCTGTTCAGCGACTACTGGAGCTCGAAACGCGTCTAGAGTTTTGTCCGCCTCCACCGGCCTTCTGGCCCACTGTGCGACGGAAGTGACTCTCCGAATCAGTGTGCTGCTCTACCTGCGGGAAGCGTCTCCCGACGAAGCCCGCCCCCGGGCACGGCCGCGACGACGACCCCTGCTGGCCCGACCGCCGCGAGCGCTCCGAGCCGCCAACCTCGGCGAGCCGCTCCGCCACCAGGATGCCGTTGACGCCGAGGCCGGCGCTCACGGAGCGGGGGAACCAAGGGTGGTGCCGCTTGCCGTGCGCGCCGTGCGCGTCCCAGGGCATGTGTCGCCAGGGGCACGGCGCCCCGTTCCGCAGGCACGACGACAAGGCCCTGTCCGCGGACGTCTACGCACAAGGACAAGGCCGTGACCTCGGAGGGGGCCGCCGGGCTGCCGTCGCGCACCGGGACAGAAGACCGGTGGAGGCCGACAAAACTCTGGAGGCATTTTGAGCTCCAGAGTAGCTGAACAGGACTCGAACCGAGCGTGTGACCCCACCAACGGATCCCATTTAGCGACTCTGGGGCTCAAAACCCGTCCGGGATTTCGACCGCCTCCGCCGGTCTTCTGGCAAATCCACAGTGCGTCGTGCCGTGCGCTTGCCTGGGACACCGACATAGAGGCGGCCGACGATTGCCGGGCCGGCACCACGGCGTCCGCGGCCACGGCGCCGTCCTCCACCGCGGCCGTGGACACCGTGGACGCCGTGGACATGTCGGGGCGCGGCGGATCCGGGACGCCCGCCGCCGCGGCGCTGGGAACCTCCACCATCAAAAGCGAGCGACTGAGGCCCGGCCCGGGGTTCACGTCGTGTCTGCCCCGCACGTGGAGGCAGGAGTCAAGAGGGAAGGGGGCACAATGGCTTCTGGTTTTGCAATATCTGTAGCCAGTTGTCTCTTTGAGTCCCCTAAATATGAGGCAGCACATAAACCGAAGCCAGGGGGAGGGGGAGGGGGCGCTAAGGCTCTTCCCAACTGCTGCCAGCTGGCGCGACGAGCCACTGTATGGTTTGGCCGGTGTCCTGTCCAATTTCCAGCTCTACTTTGCTGCTCCATGTACCTTTTCATCAATCGACTGTAAAGAGCGTGCTGCGAAACGAAAAAAAAACCGCCTGACTTCAACAAATTACCAGAGCTGCCACCGATGATTTCATACCCGCCGGTACGCGGCTCCCCGTGAAAAAAAAATGAAAATAAAAACGTGCCGTGTTATTCTGCGCGCCGTTTTGACATATCAATTGCTTCCGCGGTCCAGACAGACAAATTGATTTCCGAGACACCGTTTCACATTCCGTGCGTGTCCCGCCTCACCCCGCCTCGCCCCGCCGCACCCCACCGCACCCCGCCCCGCCCCGCCCCGCCCCGGCCCGCGCGCGTGCGGCGCTCCGAACGAAACCAGAGCACGCGCGTGGCTGGCTGCCTTGGCTTGCCTTGGCTGCGACAGGGAAGCGGCAGGCAAAAGCGGGAAAGCGCGTGCGGCTTGTTGAAAAATCGCCTCATGTTGTTATTTGGCTGCCTTTGGCTGCCTTAGCCCTGGTGTCCCATTCACGGTGCGTGCAGGCGGCCCAAAGTTTGGCCTCGGCGGGGCGGCCCACGGTGCGGGGAAGGGAGGGGGGCACTCCACAATTCATGTATGCATGGCACCCTTTGTCCATGAGGAGTCGGACGCCAAGCAGGAGCACCAGATTGTATCGGTGGTCGTATATGCGTCATGACAAAAGGGGAGAGGAGAGGTGCCGGGAGGGGGGGGGGATTTGGGGAGAGGGGGGGGGAGGCAGAAGAAAGCTTTGCCAAAAGGGAACAAAAGAGTGGACTCTGCAATGAGCCTGGGTAAACCTCGATCAAAAACGTTGATGCCATTTTTTCCCTCGCGAATTATACAATATCTTCGCGCAAGCACAGGGGCTGAGTGTGTGGTGGATTGCGTGGGGCTCACGTGTGTACCGCCTGGTTAACTTCCTCACGTTCGGGGCCTTCGGGGCGGAGGGGGGGGGGGCACAAAAGCAAGCGTCGAGCCCCGCCTGCCTGCCTCTCCGACGACCGTCTGCTTACAACGAAGCCCCCTCTCTCTTCCACCCTTGTGTTTGGCCACTTCGCTCAATTGCCAACTTTTTTCGGTTACCTTTCTCCGCTTTCTTCTCTCACGGCGCCTTTTTACGATGATTAACCGCATTGCTGTTACTCGCTCAACTCGCGCCGGCTGGTGCCCTCGCGGTGTCGCGTGCAGCCCTCCGCGCAGCGCCGCAGTCGTTTTGTCGCTCTGTCTCTCTCGCACTCATGGGCCGTCCCGTTGGGGTGCGAGGGAGACAGAGCGATGAAGACGACTTTCGGAATCAGTCTGCAGCGAGCAGCGCGCCCTTGTAGGGCCACCTGCCACGCACGCCGCCTGTGACGTCCCGGGTAGGCAACCCGCGGGAAGCTGTGTGCAACGGGACTGCCTACCTTCATTACCATTACCACTACGGGCTAGACCACAATTGATCGTAGCCCGTGGCGTCCCACCACACTGGAGGGCTACACCTGCCGCCTATACAGTCTGTACTGCCTGCGGCGCCACAGAGGACGACCGTGGACACCCTGTATTCCTCGAACTAGAATTGGTGAGGGTCGAATCGAACACAAAGATCCACGCATAATGGATTGCTTTTCGCGTACCACTATGTACGCCCTCGCCATAGGGTAGTGGCTGAAACGCCGGCCGGCCGGCGGAACAGAGTGACACATCATCATGATCATCACAATCAGCAACGCTCAGCAGACCTAACCCTTACAGCCCTGTAATACTGAACGGTTGGGAAAGACTACGGTTTTTGAGCTATTTTTCATAAATATAAAGAGTAGAGACAGATGGAAACGAGTTGGCAATCTCTGGCCTATCAAAAACATGATTCAATTCCTATTCCATGACCATGGAGCTCCATGAGCTCGTGGAACCGCCGCCCTGCGTTTGGAGGATTTTGTTCCGTCAAGTTGGCACTCGCATCATGCGACTGTTGTTTGTTTTTTGTTCCTGTGCGTGTGCCGCCGTTTTATCGTCCGGAGTGTCGCGCGCGATTTATTATTTTCGTTTTAGAACGGTTTTACGAGTGTTCAAGATAATTTGTACTTTAAAATCAGTGTTGATTGTCACCAGTAGTGAAGTGGATGTGCTTTTTTAGGTGTGACAGGTCCCAAATGTCGCAATATTGGAGCTCTTTGAAAGAAGATGTCACGACCTAACCCCACCTTCCCAAGACTTCCATGCCTCAGCAAGCTCAGCCAGCATAGTGTTGTGTTTTGTCGTGTTGTGCAGTTTGATTCCATACATCAAGTTGCTAGAAAACTGGAACCTTTCAACAATCCAAAGTATCAACAAAGAATTTGGAGTCAACACACAATACATATTAGGTGAGAGTTCCCGCACCTGCTCAGGCGGTTAAAATTGACAGCACTTGAACGGAGAGGTGAATCTTTTCTGTGCCTTATGAGTGTGCATAAAATATAATGCTGATTTTGCTAAGATGCTCCATTTGTGCTGACAGTTTAAAGACACCCAGTTGCCGGGCATCCACGGATGACTTGTTTCTGGGCGACCAAGGTAGCTAGATTCTGT